GATGCAGAGAGGAGACAGAGCTGTGGCAGGTAACTTAACCTCTCTGAGCCTGTTTCCTCTTGTATAAAATGGGCATAGTAGTAGCATCTACCTCATGGGGTGGTTGTGTTCAATGAGATAATCCACATGGAGCATTTAACACAACATCTGCCTATAACAACCACCATGTACCTTTTCATGGATGGCTATTAGAGGATATACTCCAGCAAAATGAGAGAATAAAGCAATAAAGAGGAGGCTACAGAGCCCAGGAAGCAAGGAGTCTCATTGGTTCGATTAGACACTGTGCATAACAAATGTTAGCTATGATGATTGCTAGTTTAATTAACATAAGATGACCTGGAGTCAGTGGGGGCGGAGCCGAAATCTCCGCTGTGCCACTTAGTGGCTGTGGGATCTCACCCCATTATTTGACTCTCTGATCCTGCATCCTCATCATAAAATGGGAAGAGTAAAACCTACTGTTTTGAGCTCCTGTGAAGGTTAAGTGAGGGGACATCTGTGAAGTGCCCAGGACACATGTCTGTTTTATGAAGGGGTGAGCTATCTGACAAGCATTACAAAAGATAGAATGTGGTTAAGTGTGCAGAGAAGGGAGGTAACTGTTGATTCTTTTATTATTTTTCCCCCAAAGTCCCAGTACATAGCTGTATATCCTAGTTGTAAGTCCTTCTAGTTCTTTTATGTGGGATGCTGCCACAGCATGGCTTGATGAGTCGTGTGTAGGTCTGTGCCCAGGACGAGAACTGGCAAAACCCGGGCCGCCGAAGCGGAGTGTGCGAACTTAACCACTACGCCACCAGGCCGACCCCCATGATTCTTTATACTTAAATGCATTGTCCATATTTCCAACTATTGACATAATTAATTTTTATCAATTTTTTTCCAAAATAATATATATGTCATGCAGAATTTAAAAAGTAAAGCACACTTGCAATGGAAAACATCAGTTCTCAAACTGGCCATCACCATCGCCAGTCCTGATCCCCAGAGGCAACCACTTCTAACTCTTCGTTGTCATTTTCTTCTGCTATTTACCTCCTTATTTCTTCCCCCGCCTCGCCCCCGCACCGAGGAAGATTAGCCCTGAGCTAACATCTGCCAATCCTCCTCTTTTTGCTGGGAAAGACTGGCCCTGAGCTAACATCCATGCCCATCTTCCTCTACTTTATATGCGGGACGCCTACCACAGCATGGCTTGGTGAGCGGTGCCATGTCTGCACCCAGGATTTGAACCAGTGAACCCTGGGCCGCTGAAGTGGAATGTGCATGCTTAGCCACTGCACCACTGGGCCAGCCCCTACCTCCTTATTTCTAAATAACATGCTTGTATTGCTGTTTATTGCTATATGTGTTAAAAGTCACTATTTATTGACATGCTGTTAGGTAGGTAAGAATTTAGCTGTCTTTTACTAGTAGCGCACTCCATGCATTTCCCCTCCCTCCATTCTCTTAATACATTTGTATCACAGTTTTGCACGTTACATTATCGTGACTAGGTGAATATTGTTCATGCCGAGGCAAGTTGTATGCTGTGATTATGTTGCCTTCCTTGTCTTTTGTTTTTTCCTGGAGTTAATATTGCCTCACTTTTTTTTTTTTCATTTGCTGAGGCTTTTTATGTATCTATCCTTAATTATTTTTTCCATGTACTCTCAGTCCTGTCATTTGCCTAACAATATTATTTCTTAAATTATCAATATATCAGATAACCATTCAGTATTTTTCCCGACAGCCTTCCTCTCGTGCGCCCTCCATTATCCTGCCATAATCTTAGCCAGCTACTTTTTGCTGCATCCGTCTCATCTGGAACTTTCCTTGTTGCTTTGTCCAATTAGATTCTCTGTTTCCTGGGCTCCATACCTTCCTCTTGTATTACTTTATTCCCTCCTTTTACTGGAACATATCCTCCAATAGCTTCCTAGGATATGGTACAGGGGAGATAAACGTCTAGAGTCCTTGCCTTTCTGAAAATAATGTCATTCTATTTTCACACATAATAGTTTGGATGGCTATGGAATTCTAGGGTAAAAAGTATTTTCCATCAAAAATGTGAAGGTACCGCCTCATTGTGTCCCTGCTTCTGCCGTTGCTGTGGAAAGGTCTGATGCCACATTTCCTTCCAGTCCTTTGCATATGACCTGATGTTCTCTCTCTGGCAGCTTTTAGGGTCTTCTCTTAGTCCCTGGTGGCCTGAACTCTCATAGTGATGTTCTGAGAAGGTTCTTTTCCACTGATTGTAATAAGTGCTCGAAGACTAAATCTGAAGACTCATGATCCTACATTTGATGAATCCTCTAATATTATTTCTCTGATAATTTCATCCCTTAATTTATGTTGTATGCCCAAAATATTTACAAGAGAGAAAGCATAAACTCTGTGATCTCTTTCCAGGATTTCTATTTATCAGGTATTAGAACTTCTAAATGGACCTCATTTGTCCCCCCTTTCTTATCTTCCTTCTCTTTAAATTTTTTGGGAGACTTCCTCAACTTTATCTTCCAAATTTTCTATTGATTATAAATTTCTGCTACTTCAATTGCTAAGAACTCTTTCTTGTTCTCTGATTGTTCCCTTTTCATAGCATCCTACCGTTGTTTTCTGGATGCAATATCTTATCTAATCTCTTAATGGCATTTAATTATTAGACTGTGTTTCTTTAAGTTTTCTCTCATTCCGTGCGTCGTCTCATTCCTGCAGGTTCCTTGTATCAGTTTGTCTCTTGATGTCTTCCTTTCACATGGAGACTTTCCTCAAACATCAAGTGACCCTCAGCTCTCTGTTTTTCATTCTTCAGTGGGAGTCAGCAAAAATAGCGTGGACAAGTTCTGCTTGCCAACTAATGGGCTTCACTGTCGGGTGACTGGGCATCGACCCATGGTGCCTGAATGACACCAATGACAGGGAGCTCATAACTCACTAAGCAGTTGATTCCTTTTTGGAGAAGCAATATTCTTTTGAACCCTGAGCCAATATCTGCCATCTTAGGACTTGGTTTTAATTCTGTCTTGAGCTTGTGTATTAAAAGGGATATTTCAGGGAACTTTTTTTTTTTAATTTTTATTGAGTTAATGATAGGTTACAATCTGGTGAAATTTCAGTTGTACATTATTGTTTGTCAGTCGTGTTGTAGGTGCACCCCTTCACCCTCTGTGCCCACCCCCCACCCCCTCTTTCCCCTGGTAGCCACTAATCTGTTCTCTTTGCCTACATGTTTAATTTCCTCGTATGAGCGGAGTCATACAGAGATTGTCTTTCTCTATCTGGCTTATTTCACTCAACATAATTTCAGGCAGCTTTTTGTACATACACTTTCTGGTTAGAGTTCTCTCAAAGGTAAACTTAAAAAAAAACAAAAAGGCAATTCTAGGGGCTGTATAGTAGGAATTAAGAGGAAGTAAGAGAACCTTGGGTCCAAATCCTGCCTCTCGTGATGATTATATGCCTTTGAACATCTCCCAGGCTTGATTTTCTTGGCTATAAAATGGTGGTGATGATAACAATAATAGTAATGATACCACCTAGCTTGAAGAGTTCTGGAGGTTTCTCAGTTACGCTTAGCAAAATGCCTGGCACATAGTAAATACTCTCTAAATATCAGATGCTTCAGCCAGATGAATGTTACACCTATCCGTCAAGCCCTCAGGAGACGAACCCTGTACGTCTTCCCCGACCTTAGGACCAAGTTCTCGAGGGCGTAGGCCAGATTCTAAGGGTGGAAATAGAAAGGCCCGCCTCATTGCTGGTTGTCTCATGCCTCGGTTTTCCCAGCCTATGTTGACACGTTGGGTAGTCGTACAAACCTGTTTTCCTCTTCTTGCAATTAAAATCTCTCTTACACTTAATTTTTAAAAAGCCTTTTCTTCTGCTTACAAAAGAAACACACGTTTCCACTTTTTTAATGCAAATTCAGAACAGTGTCATTTCCCCTTGCCTTTGCCCATTGGCCTGTGGACAGACCTGCTGCCCTGCACCGGGGGGCTTGGCCCCGCTCCCCAGCCTGGTCCACGGGGCCCGCAGCACTGTGGCCGCTCCGGTCCCAGCCGCGGAGCAGGACGGCCACGAGGAGACCAAGGAGACAGTGTCCTCCAGAGAAGCGTGTCGTCGCCACCTCCCCAGGGCCAAGGGCCTGTGACAGTTCACTTCGATCCAAGCTGACACCCGACAAGAGCAGCTTCTGTCAGCCCTGGGAGCTCTGGTGTCACCTGTGATTAATCCTCCAAGCCAAAACCGAACAAGATCCTGATTAAACAGTGGCGTCCCAGGGTCCCCGTCACTGCCGAGTGGAGCCGCCGCCTGAGGAGGCCCCCGTTACAGGGACCTCCGCAGCTGTCAGGACAGGTGTCAAGCCCCTTGTCACCTTCTCAGGATTTGAGCCTCACCTTCCCCCCGTCCCTGACCTCCCTTTCTCCAGAAGAGGAACTAGCCTTTCCCCATAAACCCACAGCCATCACCGGGCTCCTGGAGTGACCGCTCTGGGCATCACTGAGGCCGTGGCAGTCACCGTAAGGAACACCACCTTGGAGCAATTACGCGTGTGCCGTGGCGTGTTCCTGCCCAAACCCACGGCAATCGGGGGTCCGGGGACATAATTCACGGTGAAGGGAACTCTTCTGGGCTCAGGGGTTCATCGCTGCCTTTGACCTAATGAATTAGTAGCTGATTAGAAGGTCTCCACTCTGCAAAGGCTTCTCTCAAAGCCGAGTCAAGATCTTTCACCCTGGCCGAGTGACCCGGGCTCCCACCTACCCTTCTCTCCATTGCCAGAGGTCTCGGGACCTGCAGCCAGGGGCCTTCCAGGCCGGCCACGGCTGGAACAGAAGCCCTTCTGCTCCCACAGCTCCTGGCTGTGGCCACCGCGTCACTCTCATCTGGAGAGATGCGCACCTTGGCATTTTCTGGCCTTTTCTTCCCAAGCCGGGCATCGCTTTGATAGCTGAAGGGTTCTCTCGCTGCGACCTCTGCCCTCGCGCCAAGTCAGATGACCTTTCCTTTTACAGATCGCGGCCACCGCAGCTGCAGATCCAGAAGGAGACGGGCTCAGGGAAGGACAAGCCCCAGCCGGAAGGAGTCCGGGTCAGGCCTCAATAACGGGAGAGCGGCTACTGTCTGCTGAGCGCCTGCTGCATGCCAGGTACTTCCCCTACGTCAGCTCCTTTATATAAAAAAAGCAGCAAGTGAGGCCTAGCTGACACTTGATGGGCGGGCGGAGAGGGGAGGGCTCCAGGCAGAGGGAGGCTCAGGGCGTTCCCTGAGGGAGCCAGAGCTTGGTGGAGAATCAGGGAGAAGGCCAGCGTGCCCGGGATACAGCCGAGGTGAGACGCAGGGACTGGCAAGGCCTCGGGGGTCGAGGTAAAGACTTTATGTAACAGCAGGAGAGGCCACAGGACGAATGTTTTGAATGAATGAGGGAGGGAAGTGAGACCAGCAGCTGCCAGGGTGTCTGTCCAGGGGCAGGCAGCCTCCCCATCCTGTAGGAAGGTGAGCAGAATGGCTCTTCGTGTAGAACCCAAAGACTGACGTGGTCTAGGGTTTGACTTCTTAAGACTGGAAGCCAAATCCTGCTGAAGGTCGGGTCAGAGTTGCCACCGGCTCTGGCTAAGAGTGAGGGGAGAGAGGACGCCCCAGCACGGTAGGCTGCTAAAATTCAGGGCCTCAGTGGCTAAGAGCACGTTTCTGGGCCAGTTGTTTTCAAGGAAACTGCCCAGAGCTGGATACTGGCCGCCTGCTTTGGCCCAGGCGACGGGACTGAGTCAGGCCGGGTTACAGCAAAGTGTTTGGGAAGGTAAATACATTGGGAAAGGAAATACATCGAAACTGTGTCCAAGATTTTTTTTCTTCCAAGCTAGCTACACTACGAATAGTTTTTGCACGTTAAATCATTCATTCATTCATTTATGTGTGTGTGTGTGTATCTATGAGGCAAAGAACAATAAAATGCCCACTCGTGTCCCGAGCTGAAGGAGTAACACGATTCCCAGGATCACCGAGATCACCTGGGTGTCGGTCCACGTCCCAGCCGTCATGCTGGCCTCGTGGGGGAGCCACCGTTCTGACGTTTCTCAGTCTTTGCTCCTCGGTATAGTTTTGCTGTAGATCCTGAACAGTGTGGCTTGGTCGTGCATGTTTGGGAAATTTACACAGACAGTCTCATTGTTTGTGCTCTGCTGGGACTGGCCTTTTCGCTCAGTGTCACCTCCCTGAGGTTCGTCCATGTGGATGCACGTAGCGTATTTCTTTCCCTCTGCGCTGCTGTGGAGTACGCCATCGTTGGGTATACACGTCATTTATCCTCTCTGCTGCACCGGGATGTCTGTGGGGTCCCCCGGTTTTGGGATGCACAATGCCGCTGTTGAACGTTCTTGCATGTCTTGTGCCGTGCGGAGAGGGAAGGAGGGCTGGGCTGGGTGGCACGCGTGTTCAGCCAGACTAGGTAACCGACGTCAGCCTGTTTTCCGATCCTAAAGTTTATTTCAACCACACAGACACCTGTCGGTGACTCACTGTCCGCCTTACTCTCTGGCCCTCGAGTGGGAACAGGTGGCCCGGGTTCCGTGCCACGCAAACTCCAGTCCTTCACCGACAGCTTTAATCTACCTCCCCGTCTACACAGCAAACTCCTGCTCCAAATGCCACCTGCTCTTAAAGAGAGGAACCTCAGAGGGGAGCCTTAGCGTTGGGGAGGTCTGGGCGGGAACCCCACTTTTTGCTCGCTGTGTGGCCCTGAGCGAGTTCCTTAGGCCAGTGTTTGTCTTCATCAGCTGGGGCCACCATAACAAGACACCGCAGATGGCCAGCTCCACTGATTTCTCACCGTTCTGGAGGCTGGAAGTCCAGGATCAAGGCACCAGCCCGTGTGGGTTCTGGCGAGACCTCTCTAGCTTGCCGATGGCCACCTTCCCACTGTGTCCTCCCATGGTGGAGGAGAGCAGGCTGCCTGGTGTCTCTCTCCCAAGGACACTTACCCCGTCATGAGGGCCGTCCTCATCTAACCCTAATACCTCCCACAGGCCCCGCCTACAAACGCCCCCCCCACCCCCCGCATTGGAGGTTAGAGCTTCTCCAGATCAATTTGCGGGGGAGACAGTTCAATCCCTAGGACCTGCCTACAAGGCAGGGATGACCCTGTCCGCCTCTCAGAGTTGCTGTGATAACTGAAGGAGGCGATTGACATAAGGAGATGATTGACAGCGCCCGGCACAGGGGCGATCCAGTATGGAGGGCGTTTCCCGTTCCGCTGGTGGGCTGGCTGCTGCCTCTCCCGCAGCCTCCTCACCCTCCTGCGGGTGTCTGTGCAGGCACCATCTCTTACCACCAAAGTCTGAGCACCTCACAAGGACGGGGACTGTGCTGGAAAGATCTTTGCATGCCATTCCTCACACAGTGTCCAGTGCATAGTAGGTACTCGCTCATGTTGGGCGCACAGTGGGTGCTCACTCGAGTTAGCCAATGGTGGAGGAATGCCGACCTGGGGATGCACAGGCCTCATCCCTCAGGATGCTCACTGGAGTCAGTTCTTGTAAGTTCTACTTAGCCGGTGTTTGCTAAGCAGCTGAGATGCACAGGGGTATATTTAAATTAGATCCGAGTTCTGTGATCTCCTTGCATAGAAGGTAGGAGGGCGCCTTTCATCTCTGTTTTGGAAAAAAGGCTTTGCCCTAGGCATTTCCTACCTCTTTTTTTCTTCCTTCTCCCAGCAGAAGCCACCAAAGGCCTGCTGAGGTGGCTGCATGGGCCACCCTGGTCCCCGGAGGAAGTGTTTCTATTGCATTGAACACGCTTGTACCTGGAATGTCGCACCAGCTAGTACAACCTCCTTGTCGGTGAAGGGCAGTGAGAGATGCTTGTCGGTGCCATCCAGACCTGCTCGTCTTCCTGCCTCGAGCTGTCATTTAATTAATTCCAGGCACGGGCCTCTGACTCTCCCAAAAAGCATAAACTCCTTCACTCCTGATTCTCAGCTCTCTTGCGCTCCCTGTGCTGAGCAAGTCTGCGTACCAAGTAGATACATTTGTTAGTCAAGCTTTGGACTGCAAATAATAGTAGACCCAACTTAAAATGGTTTAGGGCAAAGGGCATTTATTATCTTACATAGGAAGGAGTCCAGAGGGATCCAGTGTTGGTTGATTTAGTGTCCAAGAGGTGACATCATGAAGAACACAAGTTCTTCCCATCTCTCTACTCTGCCATCTTGAGGGTGTTAGCTTTTGTCCTTAGGTAAGTCCTCAGGTCACAGGATGGCTGCAGTGACCCCCAGCATCACACACAGCTTCACACACTAACATCCAAAGGCTCGATGACAGTGTTGCTTCCTTGCGTTCCTGTCAAAGATCAAGGAGAAAAGCACCAGAATTGCCCCCAGCAGACTTTCCGTTGGTTGCAAGGGCCATAAAGGGCTTCATGTACCTGTCTTAAGCCACTGGTAGAGACCAGATGAGACCCAGACTTTGCAGCTCAGAAGCTGCCTGGCCTCCTTCAAGCATGAGGCCACTTGATTCCTGGGGAAAAAATCAGGATCCCATAAGTAGGCAGAGCAGGGGAGAGATGTGGATAAACTATGGCGGCGTCTGCCTCCTGTTCAATACACAATTTGTCGAGTCAAGTTCTTAGGGTGGTGACTCCTTAAAAATAGTAAAGGGAAGTCCATTTTCCTCTGTGAGTGGAAATGCTCGTACCGACACATCGTCAGAGTGAGCGACTGCGGGGGGCATCTTCGTGCTGCACTGCCCCCACAGGAACTGGACGCAGGCACCCAGAGAGGGACTCCCACCACTTCTCGTGGACCCTTGGTGTCTCTCAGTGCAGCTCCCCTGGGCAGACCCGCCTCCTCTGTCCGCCTCCACCTTCCCCATCTCCACAGCCTCGACCTCCCTGCGTCTCTGCTTTACTGTGCCACAGCTCCAGCCTCCACAGCCACCTTGCAGCTCAATTCCCCACAAGCGCTCACCCGCCCCACTGTCTCTGTGGCCCATATGAAACCCCCAGCCTACGGATCGGTCCTCCTTGGAGCAGATCGGTCGGCTGGGGCCAGAGGGTTTATTTGGTACAAACAGGGTATTGGGGCCATGGCCTCCTGAGAGCATGTGAGTCGAAAGGCAGATAGTGGATACTGGTGTATCTATTGCTCTAGACTTGGCTTCTATCTCTGCTAATTTTCACAAGCCCACCCCCACTTCAGATGCCAGTTGTCAGTCCCAGGGGCCACCCAGACTCTCAGTGAACAGCTATAACTCAGGGATTCCCACAGCCCCTTCATCAAGTTCAGTAATTTGCTGGAATGACTCACAGAATTCAGGAAAACCCTATATTTATTATAGTTTATCTTAAAAGGGTACAAATGAAAAGCCATATGAGGAGGTGTATAGGGCAAGAACTGGAAGGGTCCTGAGCTCAGGAGCCTCTGTCCCCATGGAGTCAAGGCGTGCCACCCTCCCAGGACATGTGTGTGTTCACAAACTTGGGATCTCCTTGAACCCCATTGTTTAGGGACTTTTCTCAAGGCTTCCTTATGTAGGCACGGTTGATTAAATCACTTACCAGTGATGATGGAACTCCATCTCCCGCCTCACTCCCCTCCCCAGAGTAGGGGTGTGGGGCTGGAAGTCATAACCTTCGAATCACTTGCTTGGTTTTCCTGGCAATCAGCCCCATCCTCAAGCTATCCAGGGGTTTCTTAGCCAAGAGTCATCTCATTACCATCCAAAAGATGCTCACACTCTGGAGATTCCAAGAGTTTCAGGAGCTCTGTGCCAGAAACCGGGGACAAAGACCAATTTTTTTATTATTATTATACCACACGTATGTGTTCTGAAATTTGCTTTGTTTGAAACCATGTGTCTTGGAATGTCTCCATGTCACCATATCCCTTTAAAATGTTATTCCATAGTACAAAAGGATCATGGAATACCTACTGATGGATGTTTAGCTTATTTCCATTTTTCTCTATTACAAATGGTGCTAAATGTTCAAGTAAAAACTTGGGGGAAAATTAAATATCCATCAATAAGGAAATGGATAAATAAATTATGGTATATTCATGCAATGGAATAATATATAAAACAGTTAAAAATGAATAAATCAATTGAAATTCAGAGGTTGTTGGAATAGATTAAAACAGCAGCAATAGGATCGTCTATATTCTGCTACAGGAGAAAAACCTTAGGTCCAAAGGTACAAGGAGGTTGAAAGTACAAAGAGGTTGAAAATAAAAGGATGGAAAGATATACTATGCAAACAGCAAGCATGAAAGAGCTAGAGTGGCTAATATCAGATGCAATGGACTTGAGGTGTTACTAGAAATAAGAAGACATTTCATAATGATAAAAGGGTCAATCCACCAGCAAGTCATAGCAATCATAAGTATGTACGCACCTAACAAGAGAGCCCCAAAATACACAAAGCAAAACTGACAGAACTGACGGGAGAAATACACAACTCAATGATAAAAGTTGGAGACTTAAATACCCTACCATCAATGATAGATAACAACTAGACAGAAGGTCAGTAAGAAACAGAAGACTTGAAAACACTAGAAATAAACTAGACCTAACAGGCATCCATGGTACGCTCTACCTAACAGCAGCAGAATGCACATTCTTCTCAAGCACGAACTGGAACATTCTCCAAGATGGTTCAGACTAGTGCATAAAACAAGCTTCAATAAATTTAAAAGGACTGAAATGTTACAAAGCACATTTTCCAATCACGGTGGAATTAAATTAGAAATCAGTAACAAAGATATTTGGGAAATTCATAAATATAGGAAAATTAAATATCGTATTCTTGAAAAACTGAACCAAAGAAAAAATCACAGAAGAAATTAGAAAATTTACTTTGAGATGAATGAAAATGAAAATGCAACATACCAAAACTTAAGGGACGTAGCTAGAGCAGGGCTCAGAGGGAAGTTTATAGCTATAAATGCTTATGTCTAAAAGGATCTCAAATCAATAACCTAACCTTCCACCTTATGAAACCAGAAAAAGAAGAATAAACGAAGCCGAAAGCAAGCAGAAGGAAGAAAATAATAAAGATTAGGACAGAAATAAATGAGTTAGAGAATAGAAAAGCCATAGAGAAAATCAATGAAACCAAAAGAGTATTGCTATCTCTATTATACAAATACAAAATAGTATTACTATGGGTTCCTTGAAATATCAACAAATTGACAAACCTTTAGCTAGACCTGACCAAGAAAAAAACAGAGAAGACTCCAATTACCAGAATCAGAAATAAAAGAGAAGACGTTACTACCAACCTTACAGAAACGTGTTGTGAAGGAATAATGTGAACAATTGTTTTCAATAAATTAGATAACTTAGACGAAATGGATAAATTCCTAGAAAGACACAAACGACTGGAACTGACTCAAGAAAAACAGGAAATCTGAGCAAACCTATAACAAAGAAAGAATTAGCAATCAAAAACCTCCTGCAAAGAAAAGCCCAGAACCAGATGTCTTCACTGGTGAATTCTACCAAAGAATAGAAAGAAGACCCATATTCACGGGTCATAAGACAATATTGTTAGATAGTAATACTCTCCAAATTGATCTACATATTTAATGGATTTGCCCTCAAAATCCCAGCTACCTTTTTTTTGCAGATACTGACAAAATGATCCTTAAATGCGTATGGAATTACAAGGGGCCATGAGCAGCCAAAACAATGTTAAGAAGGAGGAACAAGGTTGGAGGACCCTTACTTCCCCATTCCAAAAACTTACGACAAATCTACAGTAACGAAGACAGTGTGGGACTGGCATAAGTACAGACATATAGATCAATGGAATAGAACTGAGAGTCCAGAAATAAATGCTTATATTAATGGTCAGTTGAGTTTTGACAAAGGTGCCGAGGCCATTCAATGGGGAAAGAATCATCTTTTTAACAGATTGCTCTGGGACTACTAAATATCCACATGTGAAAGAACACGGTGGGGCCCTTACCTCAAAAAAAAAAAAAAAAAAAAAAAAGCCCTTACCTGTTTTGCCATAAACAAAAATTAACTCGAAATGCATCATAGGCCTAAATGTAAGAGCTAAAAGGATAAAACTCTTAGGAAAAAATAGAAATAAATCTTCATAACCTTGAGTTAGGCAGTGGCTTTTTAGATACACACCAAAAGCACAACTGAAAATAGGAAAAATAAATAAATTGGACCACATCGAAACTAAAAACTTTTTGGGGCCGGCCTGGTGGCACAGTGGTTAAGTGCGCATGTTCCTCTTCGGTGGCCCAGGGTTCACCTGTTCGGATCCCAGGTGTGGACATGGCACCACTTGGCAGGCCATGCTGTGGCAGGCGTCCCACATATAAAGTAGAGGAAGATGGGCATGGATGTTAGCTCAGGGCCAGTCTTCCTCAGCAAAAAAGAGGGGGATTGGCAGCAGTTAGCTCAGGGCTGATCTTCCTCAAAAAAAAAAAAAAAAACTAAAAACTTTTGGCTACAAATAATACCTTTAAGAAAGTGAAAAGATAACTGACAGAAGGGGAGAAAACATTTGCAAATTATGTATCTGATAAGGGGCTTGTATCCAGAACATGGAGACAATTGCTATCTCTCAATAACAAAGACAAACCACCCAAATGAAAAATGAGCAAAGGATTTGACTAGACATTTCTCCACACACGAGTGGCCAATATGCACATGAAAAGACGCTCAGCATCGCTCATCATTGGAGAAATAAATAATCAAAACCACAGTGAGATACCACTTCCCACCCACTCAGAGGGCTACAAAAGAAAAAGACGGACAATCACAAGTGTTGACGAGGAGGTAGATAAATTAGGACCCGCAGACATTGCTAGCAAGGATGTAAAATGGTGCCGCCATTTTGGAAAACAGTTTGGCAGCTCCTCAAAATGTTAAACAGAGACTTAGAAATGGCTCAGTCCTTCCACTTCTCCCTATCTGCCCAAGGGAAACAAAAACATGTCTGCCCAAAAACTTGTGCATGACTCTTCATAGCAGCATAACTCATAGTAGCCAAAAACTAGAAACAACCCAACTGTCCATCAACGGATGGCTAAACGAGATGTGGTATGTCCATACAGTGAAAAATTATTCATCAGTAAAAAGAAATAAAGTACTTCAACATGCTACAACATGGATGAAACTTGAAAACATTATCCTAAGTGGAAGAAGATAGTCACAAAAGACCACGTGTTGAATAATTCCATTTATATGAAATGTCCAGAATCGGTAAATCTATAGAAACAGAAAGTAGATTAGTAGTTGCCTTTGGCTCGGGAGACAGGTACCGGAATGACTACAAAAGGGTATGGAGTGTCTTTGGGGGGAGATGAAAATGTTCTAAAGTTAATTGTGGGCATCTCCATCAGTATACTAAAAATCACTGAATTGTTCACTTTTTAAAGGTGAATTGCATGGTCCATGAATTCTATCTCACTAAAGCAGTTTTTAAAAAATGAGTGAATTAGATCTATATGTACCAACCTAGATAAATCTCAAAAGTGTAGAGAGAAAAAAGCAAGTTGAAGAAGAAAACAAGGAAGCGTACAGTATGAAGCCTTTTGTGTGAAATTTTAAAACCAAAAATCATGGTCTATAGTCTTTCGGGGAAAGATAAATTCTTAGTAAAATATAAAAGCTTGGACGGAAAGGATGTACTCCAACTGCAAAATTTTCTTTCTCTGCCCATAAATAATGTTTTAAACATTTTGTGGCTTCTCCATCCATTGTTTATGTTGAGTATATACAGAAACGTATCTATCTATATTCATATCCCTTCCTTCCTTAACTAAAAGGTATGTACTTTTCTCTACTTTTTCTAACTTCACAACGTAGTCTAGCGATCACTGAAGGTGTTTCTAGAGCTGCTCCAGTGGGGTTCTTTTATTAACCTTGTTGGGGTCTCTGTCTAAAAGGAGGAGGGCCAGACATGGATGACTATATGGAGACGCTGAAGGATGAGGAGGACGCCTTGTGGGAGAACGTGGAGTGCAACCGGCACATGCTAAGCCGCTATATCAACCCGGCCAAGCTCACCCCCTACCTGCGCCAGTGCAAGGTCATTGATGAGCAAGATGAAGATGAGGTGCTTAACGCTCCCATGTTGCCGTCCAAGATCAACCGGGCAGGTAACCTGACGAGCCGCTTTGGAGCAAAGGGTGGGCTACCTCTCGTGGAAGCTGCAGGAAATAGTCCTCGGTTAGCTGGACCAAAATGAAGTGTCTCTAGCTCAGGAATTTTTTTCGCTGGGGTCCATAGACCTCTGCCCATCGCGTCCGCCACCGGGCTGTTTATGCATAGAATTGAGAGGGTCCGTGAACTTGGGTGGGAGCAAATTACGTCTTTATTGGACTAACCTCAACCCAGATGGAGCATTCCTTTTGGTTGTGAACGTAGGCAGGCAACACATCACGGGAGTGATCGGCAGTACCTGCGACTCTGTCAACCGTAAAAATTACAGACATCTTCATATCCCATTACAGCTGCTGCAGATGTCGCCAAATATCATGCACGCTCCTCTCTCCCTCAGAATCACACTAGTTATCAGACCTGCCAAGGGATCTTGTTATTTAATGCATTGATACAGAAGAACACTTATTACTGAATCAGAGATGCCATATTTGCTAACTGTATCTTATTATAATTGATTTCCTTTGTAATCCAAGGCATTTTATCTGTTTAAAAATATTATTCTGAGGAGGGGGTCCGTAGGCTTTCCCAGGCTGCCTAGGGGTCCATGACACTCGCTCACTTTCATTAGAGGTGATCACTATGGTTTGTGAAACTTGTTTTGGTTTTATACATGTATGTGTGTGTACACACATATATATATGTTGTATCTTTGTGTGTGGGCGTGAGGTCACAATGTAGAATATATTTCTTTCTGGGGCTCACAGTTTAAAAGGTTCGAAGATCACTGTCCCCCAGTAGGACTGGTGGTGAGTGGCTCACCCTTTGTGACTTTTGCATACGTGACAGACATCACTAATCACACCCTGCTTTCCTGCTGAGCTCGGATGTGCCTTTAGACTCCTTCCCAACCCGGTGCTCCAGGCAGCTTCGCCAAACACAGCTGACACAAGATGAAACCTATTTATTATGTCCATCCTAGGGAAAATGTAGAGTTTCAGGACCTCAAGGGAAGAAATATCTGAAAATAAAGTGTGTAAGGAAGGGCCAAGAAATGTAAACGATAAGTGGAACCGGTAGGAGAGACAGTGAAAACTGCTGGGCAGGTTACCTTTAGGATAAAGATGTTTCCAGATTACGTGATAATCCCAAAGAACAGCATGGAGCTATGCCTGCTTCCTGGGACTTTTCCTAGCTCCCCACCCAATTATCCGTCTTCCTTCTCTGAGTCTCAGAGAACCACATATTATTCTGTAATCGTTATTGTATTTCTAACCTCCTTCACTCACAGAAGAGCGGGTGTCTATCTGGGTAATTTTAACCTTTTGGTCAATTCGGAAGCTCCCTGAAACTGTTGGTTTCCTGTGGCTGCAATTCCATTTATCCTGGCTCTACCAACTTCTTAGAGAAAGGAAACTAACACCCACTGAATCCTTGCTGAGGGCCTGGCCCTTTGACTTACATTGTCTGGACTCCAAGACGCAGTTCAGGAGTGACAATGTGATGAGACTGTCTTCTTAGAGTTTTCTTGAGGGATATGAGTCCAAGATAAGACTGGACAAGGAGACTTGAATCCAATCAGATACGTGTTCTTCTCATTGAGTGATGTGGCCTGTCCCCTAGGCCGGTTGTTGGACATTCTACATACCAAGGGGCAAAGGGGCTACGTGGTCTTCTTGGAGAGCCTGGAGTTTTACTACCCGGAATTGTACAAACTGGTGACTGGCAAGGAGCCCACCCGGAGGTTTTCCACCATCGTGGGTAAGTGGCTTTGCCATCAGGAGTATCTGGACTCTAGCAGGAGGTGTGTCTGTGTCTGTGTGTGTGTCCAGTGGGGGAGCAGGTCTAAAGCTATGAATCTGTGACATCAGGACAGTGCCCCTGTGGCACTTGTGGGCCATCAACCACTTGTTTCTGCCTGATGATGAAAGGCAGGTGACAGAGGAGCAAATGGAAATAGGGGCCAAGAGAAGTGGGTGTTCATGGAACATCTCCCATGAATGTTGGTGGGGTGGAACAGACATTCGCACCACCCTCTGGGTCTTGTCCTTGCCTTGCTTACTCTCTTGCCAGTATCCCGTGAGCCAGAGCCCTTGGTCATCTCATCTCCTTGATTTTCTTTCCTAAATATTCCTAAGTTAGTCTTCTCTCCATCTCCATCACTACCCTAGTCCAGACCCCTTCAACCCCATCAACTCTACATCCGTTCCTGCTCTGATCCAACACTTTCCCTACTCCAGGTACCCCTCCCCTGCTTAAAACCTTTCACTGGTTTTCCACTGGTTCCATCTAAAGACCCAGGTCTTTAATGGAGCCCACAAGGACCCCACGTGGTCCAGCCTCTGCTGACACTCCCAGCCTCACCTTTCTGCTTCTCCCCCTCTCCCCACCCCAGCGGGGCACTCTGGGTTTTCCTTCAGTTCCTCCTTCCTCCCCAGAGGGCCCTGGCAATGTGGCTCCTAGAATGTGTTTCCCCCTCAACTCAACATTTCAGCTCAACCACCAAGAGCCCTCTGCCCCCCAGGCTGGATGTGGCCCCCCTGTTACACACTCTCACAGCCCCCTACACCTTCACTTTGTGAAATCCTCTCCTTCTGTAGTTTTGTGTGTGTGTGTGTGATCATTTGCTTTTTAATGTCTGTCTCCCTTACCAGACCGTAAGCTCTGCCCAGACCAAGGCTATTTTGCTCACCCTGACTCCCCAGTGCCCAATGGGTAGTGAGAGCTCGGTAAAATGTTGGTGAGTGAATGAGTGAACGAATGACCCCTGCCCGCGTCTGGGACGCCCTCTTCCCCTCGGCAGTCCTCGGGCCTGACTGGGTGCCCCCTCTCCACAGTGGAGGAGGGCCACGAGGGCCTCACGCACTTCCTGATGAACGAGGTCATCAAGCTGCAGCAGCAGATGAAGGCCAAGGACCTGCAGCGGTGCGAGCTGCTGGCCAAGTCGCGACAGCTGGAAGACGAGAAGAAGCAGCTGACGCTGACGCGGGTGGAGCTGCTGACCTTCCAGGAGCGCTACTACAAGATGAAGGAGGAGCGGGACAGCTACAACGACGAGCTGGTCAAGGTCAAGGACGACAACTACAACCTGGCCATGCGCTACGCCCAGCTCAGCGAAGAGAAAAACATGGCGGTCATGAGGAGCCGGGACCTCCAGCTCGAGGTGAGGGGCACGCGGGGGGCCGCTGGGGTGCAAGACCACCACGTGGGCAAGTGCAGACAGGTGCACACAGGCTGCCACAGCTTCGCCCCCAGCTAGGTTAGGGGGCATGAAGGACACGGGGTCCGAGGACCTAGACACACGGTGTGCAGCAACATATGCACGCCAACGCAGGGAGGCTTAGCGCGATGGTTTGAGAGCCGCCCCCACCCCCGGCCCCCAACCACATCCTCTACGCACATGCGCACGCGGAACCAGTAGGGCTTCCTGTCGCTGGCTCAGGACCCAGATCCACCATGCGCATGTGCCATGTGCGCATGGATCCAGTGAGCTTCTCTGCTCATTGGGAGCTTGAATCCACCGTGTGCATGTGTGGATGTGAGCAAGCAGGCCCTGCACCGTGCGGATGAGAGGGAAGATGCGGGGGGGGCCCGGGGGCTTGGGCTGTGGCCCTGGAAGATCAGGGAGGAGATGGACACGGTGCATGAGGTCCTTGAGGCCAGGACTCTGCCCATCACAGCTGTATCCACAGTGCTCAGCGTGGCACAGTGGGCTAGTCAATACACTTATCAGTGAACAGTCCGCCAGCCAAAGGATTGGCGTCAAACATGAGTTTACCTCCAAAATGGAGAAAGGAAAGGGAGTTTGCTTAACTCGTGTGTTCTTTTTATTTATGGAGCGTCGCCATGCGCCGGGCTCTTTTCCAGGGATACGTAACTGGAGAGCAAGGCCCTGCTGTCACGGGGCTCACATTCTAATCAGAAAACAAATGCATAAATGCCTGGTAATGGTAAGTGCTATAAGAAGAGGAAAAAAAGAGCATTAGCATAGTGAGTGAGGGATGCGATTTTAAATAGGACGCTCAGGAAAGGTCCCTGAGAAGGAGACACACGGGCAGAGACCTAAAGAAAGGCAGGGAGCCAACCGGGCTGGTCTCAGGAGAAACAAAAAGGCCCCGAGTAGGGCCACGCTGCGTATTTTTAAGAAACAGCAAGAGAGCCAGCGGGGCTGGAGCCAAGTGAGCAAGTGGCAGGAAGGGAGGTGGGGGAGATGGCTAGGGGCCGGATCGTGGGGGGCTGGTAAGAACTTGGGAATTTATTCCACTTGTGATGGGAAGTCACTGAAGGATTGAGAGCTGGGGAGTGACAACTGATTTATATCTAGAAAGATCCCTCTGGCTGCTGGGTGGAAAATAGACTCTCAGAATATTTATTAAGCACCTGCCACGTGTAAGGCACTGTGCTAAGCACTGGGGGGACACAAGGATAAATAACGTGATTTCTGCCCAGGTCACTTACAATTTAGTTGAAGCAGACAGATCAGTAAATAGTCCTCTAGAATTCAAGGGAATTGAGTCAGCAGCATAGCGGGCAGTAGAGTGTTTCTGTTAAGAGCATGAGCTTTGAAATCCTACGCATTTGGTCCAAATCTGGCTTCTGGCTTCTGGCTTTACCGCTTAGTTGCCTCTTGGCTTCAGTTTCCTCGTTTGTAAAGAGCAATAATGAAAATAATACCTACGCCCTGGGATTGCTGAGATGCTGCACCTTGAGCCTTTGGCAAAGCGGCTAACCCAGTAAGCGTCCCACGGCGCCAGCACCTCGTGCCCACTTGGATGGGACTCGAGGTCTGGACCCAGCACTGGGCACTGGGGCTGATCTTCCAAGATGCTGAGGATGCGTGACCAGGAGGAGAGGTTTCTGTGCTGTTCTATCTAGGGTTTAAGAGCAGTTGACCTGTGGCAGGGACTTAAAAGTTTCTCTCCTAGAACTTTCTCCTGTGTTATATTTCCCTGGAGATATATTAGTAGGGAAACAGCGTGTCTGGAACTGCAACGAACGTCTGGCCGGCTGGGTCCCGAGGTTATTTCGCAGCGCCAGGCTGCTTCCCTCTGGCCGCAGGGAAGAGCCACAGTCCTTTCCCAGCTAAAGCCCCACCCGCTACCCGCTGGGTGTCTTGTGACCATTCTCCCCATAAGCCTAGAACTGAAAAAGATGCTCACCCCTTTGCTGCCTCCCTTCCTTGCAGCCCTTGAGAACGATCTTCTTGTCTTACCGTGTTTCACCAAGGCAGACACGCTTAGTCACAAAGACTTCTTAAGACGTCTTCTGCTGGCCCCAGTTCCTGCCACTCACCTCTCGGAGGTGATGCTCAGCGCGTCTCCGGTTGTCCCATTTCCAGATGTAGTAGCTGCCTCCTCCAGGAAGTCCGTCTTTGGAGCACTAAGTCTGGGCACGTCCTTTAGGCTGGAGATCTCTTGAACTTAAGTCCAGTAAATCTCAAGCTGTTCTTTCGGAAGCTGTGCCATTTGTTCTAATAAAATCTTGTGTGAAACCCAAGAGGACAAAACCTGGGCAGGGAGGGCTGCTCCGGAGGATGAAGGCAGCGTGGGGCCCAGAACCCTGTCTTCTTGGCCGTCTCTGGGCCCCCTTCGATCACACTAGGGTTCTTCAGGGGAATCCTTGAGTTCAGGGGATCAGCGTTTGAAACCCACCACAAAAGGGCATTGTAACGGATAACATACCTCAAGGAAAACAGCTTTGCTATCTTTTATCCTAATCTGTAGCCTGTTCCACCCCACAGAAGTTACCGGGGGGAATTGTCTCAGGGCCATATAGCGCCTTTAAAACTATTCTAAATTGACAAGGCAGTCGGCATCAACCAAGAGCTGGTGGTTTGTTTTACTGGAAAACGTTTCTTTGAGCCCTTCTCTGTCGCCAGCCGGAAGAAGGAGGGGGCGGGGGCGTAACACAGGTCGTGCTGGAAGTTCTGTGGACCTGGGGAAGCATCGCCTTTCCCGAGTGTTTCCTGCCAACTGCATTCTCCCCTCGGCACCCTTGGCGTGTTTCAGATTGACCAACTCAAGCATCGGTTAAATAAGATGGAAGAGGAATGCAAGCTGGAGCGGAATCAGTCACTGAAACTGAAGAACGACATCGAGAACCGGCCCAAGAAGGAGCAGGTTCTGGAACTGGAGCGGGAGAATGAGATGCTGAAGACAAAAATCCAGGAGCTGCAATCCATCATACAGGTGAGCGCGGGGGGCGGGGGCAGCGTGGGCAGAGGGAGGATGACGGCCTGGGGGACGGACACACCTGCCTGGGTGTGAGACCCAGAGCTGTCACTCACTGACTGCAGGACCACCAGCGATGCAGGTCATCCCTGGGCACCTTAGTGTCCTCCTTTGTAAAGTGGGGGTGACCACACCACCCACTTCTCGGAGACATGACATTACGTGAGAGAGTACTTGTGACAGTGTTTCCTTAATTGAAGCATTCAGTGAAAATCGCCATTCACACGGAAATCAGTGCCCCAGGGCACTGTGCGAAAAGTACATCCGGGAAACCTACTTGCCCTTAAAGATTCCGGGGAATCTCAACTCTCAGCTCCGTGTGATTTGTTAAAACTTCAGATGCCTCCCCACGTTTGTCATCACGGAATCGTTGGTGGGGATGAAGGAGGAAGTGCTGAGACGTAACATCCCAAAAACACAGCTACAGGGAAAATTTTAAAAGCATCACTCCCCTTCTCCCAGAATGGCTCCCCGCCCCCCCCCCCCCCGCCCCCCCCACCGGGATGGGCTGCCCAGCAGTTTAAGGCTCTGATTCGGAGCAGAGGATGAATCCTGGTTTAATCAGGGCAGATTAATTGGTGTTTCAGGGGAAGCATCTGGAAGGCAGATCAGCCCTCTCTTTCTTGTCACCTAGGAAGGGTTTGGAGGAGCAGCAGCCACTTCTCTCGGCTCTGATACGAGCCAGAGCCAAACAATAGGCGTCAGATATTCCTGAGCAGAAGTGGGTTTTATGCTGCTTTCCAGGTGATAGAATTCTTAAATACGAAGCTGCATAAGGACCCCAAGAGACAGTGACTGTTGCCTCTGCTCCCCCAGCACAAAACCACCTGCTCTCTTGGTGTCTGCCACTGGCTCTTTTGTCCCCCGCCTTCTGGGTCCACCTTGCTCCCTGCCCACCCTCCCACGACACCCCACAGCAACCTTAAGCCTTCCTACCCGCCCACCCAGGCCGGCAAGCGCAGCCTGCCAGACTCAGACAAGGCCATCCTGGACATCCTGGAGCACGACCGCAAGGAGGCCTTGGAGGACCGACAGGAGCTTGTCAACAAGATCTACAACCTGCAAGAGGAGGTCCGCCAGGCAGAGGAGCTGCGAGACAAGGTGGGAGCCCCACAGGCGGTGGGGACAGCTTCCAGCCAGCTGGTGCTCTGACTGGCCTCTTTCTCACCAGGGACCTCCCTGGTAGGAGGCACAGGGCCCCTCCAGCCCCACACTCTCTTCTGGGGACTAGGTCTGACCCCTGGTATAAATTCCTTGTGCCTGCCAGTGTCAGCATGCTTGTGGTTATTTATGAGTTATTGTCAGTCTTAGCATAGTTCCTGTCTTCCCCTCCTGGCTGAAGCCCACAGTAGGGCGCGCAAGGTGTCTGCACTGTCCCGGACTACATTCCCTGGCACATAGTAGGTCCACAGCAAGTCTCAGTTGATGGACTGGGCTACCACCGTGCTCCCTGCTAGTCAGATAGCGGACTCTCAGTCCAGAACATAGGGACCAGGTGACACAGGGAGGACTGCCCATCTCCAGCCAGGAGGACGGCACCACTAGAAACAGCTATCCACCCCCCACCCCCGTGCTGGTTGCTTGACGCGCGCATTGATTTCTGCCCATCTCCTGCAGTACCTGGAGGAGAAGGAGGACCTGGAGCTGAAGTGCTCGACCCTGGGGAAGGATTGCGAAATGTACAAGCACCGCATGAACACCGTCATGCTGCAACTGGAGGAGGTGGAGCGAGAGCGGGACCAGGTGCGGGCCTGCCGAGGGCTGCCGAGGCCGTGCACCCGGCGGGCTGCAGAGCAGGGCTCTCACCTCAAGCCACTGGGGCCCGTCGGGATATCTCGCCCAGTGTGATGTCGTTAGCTACGCAGGAATTCCTCGTGAATGCATCTGTCCTATTTCCGAAAAATGAATTCTGTCCCAAAAAGCGTTTGAATGTCACGGGGGCCTGAGCTGGACTCCCAAGGGCTCATCCCGCAGAGCATGGTCCTTAAATTCCTGGTCTCTAGAGGAAGACAGCCAGGTTCAGGCCCTGTCACTCATCAGGTGTGTGACTGCGGGCAGGCTTCTCCCTGGGCAGCCTCAGTGCCCTCATCTGTGAAATGGGAATAATAAACACAGCACTACGTCCTGGGGGCAGACAGTGGACTCGATACTGCCTGACTCTTGGCGAGGGCTGGACAGACAGCAGATGTGCTATGTAGTGTTGACGAAGGTAGTGATTGGGGTCAAGAAAGGAGCAGGAGATGACGTGGCTGACACCTAGGCTGGGAAGAGGGTTTCTAGCCGGAGACCCTGTCTGTGCCTGGATCCAGTGTGGTTCGGTCAGGGTGAAGACTCCAAGTGTCCTGTCCCCGTTCTCTCCGGCAGGCCTTCCATTCCCGGGATGAGGCACAGACCCAGTACTCACAGTGCCTCATCGAGAAGGACAAGTACAGGAAGCAGATCCGCGAGCTGGAGGAGAAGAATGACGAAATGAGGATCGAGATGGTCCGACGGGAGGCCTGCATCGTCACCCTGGAGAGCAAGCTCCGGCGCCTCTCCAAGGACAGCGGCAGCCTCGACCAGGTGGGGCTGGGCTGGGCGTGTCCCCCACACCTGCAGCCAGGTGCCTCCCACCCCCGGCCAGTGGCTGAGCGGAGTCACGGCCTCCCGTGCAGAAGTACGGCCTCCCTACCACACCCCTTCTGCAAGTGGGACATATTTGATAGACACGTCTGTTCCGTGTGTCTGTGTCATGATGAGTAGAAACTATTAGTTTGGAAGTTAGAAAATGCAGCAGAAGACCCTGGCTTGGCCACTTGCTAGGCTGGGTGATCTCAGACAAGTCACTTTCCCCTTAGGACTTCAGCTCCCTCTCAAGTGACCACCGCCGGCCATCAGCCTCCCATTGCATTCCCACCACCATCTGGGCTGTCACTGGGTTTAAGATGCCCTGTTCCCGTTAAAGTCACTAGTGCCTATGAGGAAACTGTCATTTATGGGCAGTGTGAAGTTCAGAGTGCATGTCACAGCAGGGCCCCGGGCGCTCAGCAATGACCGAATGCTGCCGTCAAAGCTGACGGTACTGTCCTTGCTGTCACTGGGGGTGTGAGTGCTGTCCTGTGCAGGTGCCATGCTTGGGCCTTCTGTGCATGATCTCGTCTCACCCTTACAACTGCCCAGCTGCCAGGGTACGATCACCGGCCTCATTTACCAAGGAAGGAGCCCAGACCCAAGCAGCTGAGCAACTTGCCTGAGGTCACGACCACTAGTCAGTGGCCTGGGGAGGCCGGGATAAGACGCAGCCCCTCTCCTCACAGGACGCAAATCCAGCCCTGGAGGCAAATCCAGGAACATGACATTTCAACACGAGATTATAAACGACAAGTCAAAGGGTGCTTGGGAGCCCAGGGGAGGAGGCCTCCGCTCCTTCGGGGTTTCAGGACAGACCTCCTCCAGGAGAAGCCCTTGATAGGGCCTCCACTGGGAATGCTGTCCCCCTGACTCCACCTGGCCCAGTTCTGCCCCCCATCTGGCCGTGGCTGCAATGTCACTTCCTCAGCGAGGCTTTCGCTGGCCCCCGTCATGAAAACCAGGAGCTTCTGTGTTATGCTCTCAGCCTTTGGAGCATTTCCCACAGTTTGTAATCACGCAGTAGCTCCGTGAAGGCCCGTCTGTTTGTCCAGGACCTTGCACGGTGCCAGGCACAGGGGAGACCATTGGGGACACCTGCTGAATAAATGAATGAAAGCTGTGATGGCACCCGGTTAGGAGAGGAGAGATGGGGCTCGTATTCCAGGCCGTGGGGACAGCATGAGCAGATGACGCCTGTGGCATGCTGTCGGCAGGCCACGATGGACAGTTCTGTCATCTGTGGAGCGGGAGGCAGGGACAGACAGGAGATGCGGCCAGAGAGGGCAGCAGGAGGTGGCAGAGCGGCCTTGTGGGCTAAGGACCTTTGTTGTTGGTGATTCTGGGACCTTGAAGGGTCTCATGTGGGGAGGTGAGGCAAACGGCTCTGGGTCTGTAGCATGAGGGTGTCGTGTGGCTCTGGGGGGTCACCCAGAAGTTACTTCGTGTTCCTGCACCTCAGCTTCAAACAGTGAGCATACAGCGCTCAGGACAGCCCCAGGCACTGTTTTTATCATTATTCCGTCGTTGGGCAATATTTTTTACATTTGTAGCTTGGGCACAGGGCTGAAAATTGGAAATATGATGGTGACATATCAGATCTAGGGGGCAATCCCTTTACTGCTGTAAATGAAGACGAGGGTGGCCCCAGGCCCCTGGCAGGAGGTGAGTAGGGACAGGAGGCTCGTGAGGAGGAGAGTTGCACCAGACTGAGAAGCCTTGGCGTCCAGGTGGATGCTGGGGGTCAGGAACAAAGAGCAGGCCGTCCTGGGTTGCAAGCTTGGGTGCCTGAGGGGATGATGGCACCATTAGCAAAGCTGTTCCTCTGCCTGGCGGCTGCTCCTCATGCCCAGTCGCCAGCACTGGCTTTGTCTTTGTCTTCAGAGCCTGCCCAGGAACCTGCCAGTGACCATCATCTCTCAGAACTTTGGGGACGCCAGCCCCAGGACCAACGGCCAGGAAGCTGACGACTCCTCCACCTCAGAGGAGTCGCCGGAAGACAGCAGATACTTCCTGCCCTACCACCCGCCCAAGCGCAGGATGAATCTGAAAGGCATCCAGGTACCGTGTGGCGGAGGGGGCGTGGCTCCGCCACCACCGTCAGGCTCTTGCCAGATCGGGTCCTGGGGAGCTGGGAGCCCCGCTGCGGACCGGCAAGGACCCAGCACGGCCACGTGTGGTTCTGGTGCGGGTCTCAGACCCCACACGCGACTCGACCCGTTTCAGCCCTAGAGACAGAAATCTTGCCAGCTCATGCTTTGGACTCGTCTTTACCAATTCTCTCATCTCGTGTAAATGTAACGGAAGTTAAGGAGAAAGAGAGAGAGGATGAAATCAGCATTATTTCCCAGTTCATTTTGTTTGTTCAACAAATAGGTATCGAGTGCCTGTCACGAGCTCACTGATGTTAATGGCTGGGGACAGGCACCATTTGGGGAGCAGCCAGCGCTAACCCCCTCTGCCCTGCTCAGTCTCTAGTGCCTTCCATGGCACATGGCTGACCCCTGATGAGGAATGAACCATTGAGTGAGTGAATGAGTGAGACCATCTCACATGAGAGCGGCCGTGACCAACAGGGCCTGACAGTGCCTCTACCCCACCCCCTCTTTGCGCACGTGGAGCCAGAAGCCCCAGGACAGCACGTTGGAGGCCAGCTGGGGCACTGCTGTTGCCTCGTGCTGAGGGTGGCCGGGCAGCCACCCGCAAACCTTGTCCTTTCCTGAAAAGTCCCCTGCATCGTGTCCCTGATTCTGCTCAGCCTCCCACTCCCGCTCGCTCTGTCCCCCTCTGCCACTCTCAGCCCTTGTACCCTCCAAGCCACACCACAGCCCCCAGGGAGAGCTTGTCTGTGCCAGCCACTGCCACTCCCGGAGACGGGCGTTGCTGGCCTCCTGTGATCCGGCGGCCACGGGACAAGGGAGCACGCGCTCGCCTCCGTTCATTTTTTCCTTCGCTCTGGTGACATGTGTCTCAGGCCGTGTTTGATGTGTGTCCTCTGTCTTCTCCCCTCCCCTCTCCACTTGTTCAGCTGCAGAGAGCCAAATCTCCCATCAGCCTGAAGCGCACAGCAGATTTTCAAGGTTAGTGAGACCCCCAGATCCCTCTCCTGTCTGTCACTCTGACTCTCTCGGTCCATCTGTTTCTCCCATCGTGGCCGTCAATCCTGCCAAGTGAACCTGGGCTGGGCCTCAGGGACCCCTGAGTGGCGGGGCATCCAGGTGGTAATTAATGTTCACTGTCATCAGAGGGGGCAGGAGCCCCAACCATGGAAACCTCGCGTCTGTGGTTCCGGCCACCCTGCCCCTCCCCGTGCCTCCGTTCAGAGGCCCTGATGCTTCAGCTGAACTTTGCATTTCTGCTCTTGGCTTGTCAGCCAGAGGACTGCTCGACCCTCCTCCCAGGCTCTTGGCCGGGCACTCCGGGCGTGGGAGGCAGCCGGGTCACCTGTGAGCCCCGGGCTCTCCAAGACACGCTGTCTCCAGGGTCCTCTCACGGGGACTCTGGGAGTGACAATGGCCAGCGGGGGTTTGCCCAGGTGAATCAGGCACCTGCTGTGTGCCAGGTGCCGGCAGGTCCAAGTACTCAGGCAGGGCCATCAGTGAGGAGTAGAAAGTGGCTTTGGATGCCCACGAGACAGTGGTTGGAGGAAGGATGAAGAAGAATAAAGAAGGGATGTCAAGTAGGGGACATCTAGACCAGGACCGGAAAAGGGAGACTCTTGGCCAATGGACACAGTCTCCAGAAGGGCACCCAGGACAGAGCGGGGAGCAGAGACAGGGACGTGGGGCCCGGCAAGTGCAGTGTGAAAAGCTCAGAGCGGGACAGAGCTGGGCGTGAGACTGCAGAGGTTGATAGGGCAGACGGACAGGGCGGGTTCATGGACCTCATCCCCCCGAGGGGCGGTGAGGAGGCAGGGGCATGAAGGGTAGGATCTGGGCTGTAGGCTGCCCTCCCTGGGCCTGGTGGAGGGCAGAGGTGGGGCACCCGGGGAAGGTGGAGCCCAGAGCTGGGTGCCATCCCCTTCCCTTGCGGCTGGATCAGAGGTCGCTGGGAGCTGCTTCATCAGAAGGGAGGCGTGAAGGGCCTGAGGCCTGCGGGAAGTAGAGAGGGCGTTTGTGCCAAGAAGAGGGCAAGGGGCAGCAGGATGATGGGGCTTCGCTCCTCACCCAGCCTTTGCCGGGTGCCTAGTGCAAGGCACCGGGGTCAGGAATGTGCAACATGCAGTTTGTCCCTCGAGGTGGCCACAGATGTAGGTGCATGCGTGTGTGTCGGTGCACACACACCACACGCACACATGCATGCTCAGCAAGGCGTGGCACACGGGTGGGAAAGCCAGCCCCTCCTCTGCAGCAAGACGAGGGCCAAGAGATATGTGCAGGAAGCCCCAGACAGCCCTGAAGGAGCAGGAGGGGTGCCGGGCCTTCCCTGAGGAGGCGACAAAGTGCCCTCATTGGCCTCAGTCCGTGATGGGCCAGTCCCATTTAGTAGGGACAGTGGGATCCGTTTTGAGGATGGGGTGATTGGCAGGGCCAGTCCCTGCTCCGCGAGAGACATGCCTTCCCAGTTTCTGCTATTCCACCCAGAGTGCCAGCTGGGGACGCTACCTGGGTCCTCAGAGACAAATGACAGCCTCCAGCCTTGACTGAGGCCACCCTGGGCCCGGCCCTGGCTGGGGGCAGGGACATGCTGGCGAACAAGACCAGGCTCCCCTTCAGGAGCCTACAGTCGGAAGGGGAAACGAGAGCACGGAAGCCCCCATGGGAGAGAGGACAGCTCCCACGTGCTCAGTGCCCTTCAAATCCCCTTTCCCTCTCTGCATCCTGCCCCGACTCGACGAGGACAGGGAGAGGACATGAAGAAGAAGGTGTGGACATCAGCCCCAGCTCCTCGAGATCCCTGCCCATCACCAACTCATTCTCCAAGATGGTAAGCCGTGGTCCCCCCACCATCCGCCTTCCGGCTCAGGCCCCAGCCCTGCCTCCCCTCACCCCGCCAGCTTCCCTCTGCAAGCCAGCCTGTGAACAGCATCACCCCCCTTCTGGGGCTGCAGCCCAGGCCCTCCTTATGTTTATTTAAAGATGTTTCCACAGCCTCACGATGTATTTACACCTTCTTGCCGCCTCCTCTCCCAATTTAACACTTGGTGGGAGGAAGAGATGGGCCTCCGAGGGGCTGTAGTGAATTGCACAGGCGGATGAAAATTCTGCGGCAACTTCTCAGCCCCTGGCAACTCCAGCAGCCTGGGGAGGCGGGTGGGCGGGCGGCGGGCGGGGGCGTCAGCAGCTGGAGCCTCAAACGGTGCAGAGCAAAGTGCCCCCTCCCCCCGGGTCCAGCGCCCCCCAGCCTCGGCTCCAGCACACCTGGGCAGGGCCTGGCAGGGTCCCAACCACTGATCCAGTGTCACTCCCCGCAGCCAGGCAGCAGAAGGTGTGGGATTGGAAATTCTAACCCCGAGGGGAAGCCCTGGGAAGCTTGTCAGCTCAGCTGCCAAAATCAGGCCCTGGGGAGGCGAGATTTGATCACGAGTGACTCCTGTCTGATTGCAGCTCTGGGGGCGAAATCCAGGCCTTTTATTTAAGGCAGCCCTTGCCAGAAGCCAGTGGGCCTTGTTCCAGAGGGTCACCCTCCAGCAGCCATGCTGTCCAGGGGGGTGGCATCCATTGCCCCCACCACCCCACGCCTGCAGGTCTTCCTCTCATCCAGAGCAAGTGCCCAAGGCAGGCGCAGCCCAGGGGACATGGAGCTCAGCCTGTGCTCCCAAAGCTCGTGAGGCCCCTGAGCCCCGGCGATTCCCGCCCGCATCCTCCCTGCCCCCTCCCGAGGCAAGCAGATGTGCAAGCAGATGTGCACCCAGCTCGGCGGCTGCAGCCTCCCCAGGCTGAGCACGCGCCTTCTCCGGCCAAGGTCGCCGCTGAACACCAGCTTGCTGTGCCCACACTGCCTGCCTCGGAGGCGGGGACGCATCTAAGTTAAATTTAGTCCCTGTGTATATAATATTTATGCCCGCGGAGGCGCGTAACACGTCTGTGTGTGTGTCTGAAGCAGCCCCATCGGAGCCGCTCCAGCATCATGTCGATCACTGCCGAGCCCCCAGGAAATGACTCCATCGTCAGACGCTATAAGGAAGACGCGCCTCCTCGGAGGTGGGTGACAGGTGGAGGGAGGAGGCGGGATGTTTTCCTGGAACCCTCAGGGGCCACTCTACACTCACTAACTCAGCTGTCCATGAGGCAACCTGGAAGGGTAGGCAGGATGGTGCCCGTTTTATAAGGAGAAGACTGAGGCTCAGAGAGGACGTGTGGCTTTCCCAGAGTCACCCAGCTAGCTATCCAATGACAAAACCTACGTCACTTTGCCCCCTGCTGCCCAGAAATCAAGTTCCTCATTGCAATGACCCTGGGGCTTGGCTTTTTCTCCCAAAGATTGATTGACACTATGAATGGCCTCTCCCTTCCTGCTCCCTCTCCCCCCAACCCACCTCTTGTAAACCATCAGAGCCCCCGACTAGTACAACGACAGTGGAGGTACACCTGGGCATCGAGATGTTTCCAATCGGCCAGATAGTTGGCGTATCACAGTCGAAGTCAGAGACCATTGGGTGGTTTCTGGCAGGGCTGGACCCACAGCTCCCATCCAGTGCCATCTCAGGGGGCTCCTTGATTTTAGGCCCATCACGCAGTGCAGCCCATCCGAGCACAGATGGCTATGCAGTTCTTTCTCTGTGTCAAAGAAGAGTGAGTGGGAAGTCGCAGGCGGGCTGTCGGCCGCTCTACTCCCCAGCTCTTCCTGCCGCTCCGCACACTGGCTGATGTGGCCTCCGCAGGCTGCCGGGGCCGCCCTGCCCTCCTAGCACAGCGTCCAACCCCGCCTTGGTCCATGATCCTCCACCCACCCGCTGACCTTCCTCTCCCACCCACCCTGCCCTCTGAGAAACAACGCCTCTCAGAAGGCCGGAACCTTCCAGAATCTTCCCCCTCCCTTGACCACGTGCATGCACACAGGAGCTCCCCCGTCCCTCCCTTGTGTCTTGCAGCACGATCGAAGAGGACAATGACAGCGGTGGATTCGATGCCCTAGACCTCGACGGTAGGTACCTGGCAAATGTGGGAGGCCTTCCAGGTGCAGGGGCTGCCTGCCATCCACAAGAACAGGGCTGCATTGCCCGCACCCTGACCTGCACATAGTGGGTCCTCAGGAAACTGTGTGGGACAGATCCCAAGAAAGCAGTGCTCGAGTGCTGTCTGTGCACACGGAAGGTAGGCGCTGGTGATGCGCTGCCTGGGCCGGAGGCCCCCTGAGGAGCCGTCCTCTGTCTTGGAGGCGGTTGGGGCCATCCAGCTGCCGAGCAGGAAGAGTCAGGTCTGAGCTTTTAAGAGAGCGGCTCTCATGATTGTAGCCACGCGCTGCGGCCGCGCTCGCCCTGCGTGCCTGGTCCCCTTTGACTCTCAGCAACTGTTTGCAGAAATCTATTGTTACCCCCATTTGAGGGATGAAGAAACAGAGCCTTGGCGAGATTCAGGAGCAGTAGAGTGAGGGTGGGCTGGGAGCAAGGAGACCACCTAAGAATCCCTCTGTTAACCAGCCCGAACGAGACGAGCAGTAGGAATGGGGGAGGAGGCTAGAATTGAGGGGGGAGTGGCAATTAGGATTCCTTTTCTTCCCTTGAAGTTGGAGGTGTGGGGCGGGCAGGCACCGGGGAGATGGAGCGTGTGTGGTAGTCCTAAAACGGCCATCCCCTACGATGGAGGGGATGTTCCCTTGGCCCCGGAACACGCGGTGCAGAGAGGCGGGAACAAGGGCTCAGTCCCTAGGGAGACAATGAGCGCGTGGCGCCGGCCCCCACCCCTTACAGCCGGGGAGGCCCAGTTCAGCCCAGCAGACCTGGAGCCTCCACACTTTGCCAGGCCCTGTTACAGATGCACAGAACACAAAGATGTCCCCAAGTCCTTGCTATGGCAGAGACTGCGGCAGTCTAGCTGCGGACCAGTGGGGATGACAGATGCCAATGCACATACCGAGAGCATCTGACTGGGCGGGCAGGAGCGAGGGGAGCAGGAAGGGTTCGGGCCTCTCAGGAGATGGCTCGGTGCCTCAGGATGGTGGCAGCGTCCCCTGGCCCCCACAGAGCCAGCAGCATGGAGCCTGGCTCTGAATCCTCTGGGTGTGGCCTGCCAGCCCCCTCGGTTCTGGGGCTCCCCCAATGCTGCCTCCACCCCCCCGCCAGCTCAGCTGCCAGCAGATAAAATGGAAGATTAGTGGCTCTCTTTAATTGGGGACCATCAGAAGCTATCAAGTGTTAAAGAGAGGTTAGCACCTAATGGAAGCTGGGTAATAAGAAGAATTGAAGGAGTTTTGGAAAGGGGAGAGCTGGGGAGAGAATTCTGGGCAGCCGTCCAAAGCATTTTGCAATGTCGGGACAGATTCCCTGTGCAGAGAAGCCTCTGTTATCAGCCCAGAGCAGGGTTTGCAGATTGTCCATCCCAGCAGCCTGAGCTGTGTGGAGGGGGTGTCGTTCCCTGGGTCCTCGGGGTCTCACTGAGTTCAGGAGAGAGGGGGTGCTTCTGTGCTCGGTCCAGACTCTGCTCCTCCAGCCCCGCCCCGTCCCATAGGCCAAGAAGCCGGTAGATGGTGGTGAGACCTAAGGTGGTCCCAAAATGAAAATACGGACCCCGATTACAAACCAGGACCGGCACCTGCTAATGGAGACCCCTTTTCCGGATGCAAAAAGGAGTCTTAAGATCCTGATTGCTGGTGACGCTTCCCACTAAGAGGGGACTCCTGGAGGCAGGAGACGAGCTCTCTTGGAGAGGATTCAAAGACCCGACCCTATGCCCCTGGGGGGCCTCAGGGACCAGCTGACTCTGATGCAGCTTCCTCGCCCAGCGTTGGGGGGCGGGGTGCTTAGAATTTCCCAGGAGGCTAGCAGGGAGGGGCAGGGACCAGAGCCACCAGACTAGCCTGCAGCCAGGACCCTGGCCTGCCTCCCCTGGCCATCCCAGCCAGTCCAGGGGCCGCCCTCGGGCCACCCCTGGCCACTCCCAGGTCCTGACGGGCGCCTCACTCCTTTGCAGATGACAGTCACGAGCGCTACTCCTTTGGCCCCCCCTCCATCCACTCCTCCTCCTCCTCCCACCAGTCCGAGGGCCTGGACGCCTATGACCTGGAGCAGGTCAACCTCATGTTCAGGAAGTTCTCTCTAGAAAGGTACCATGGTCATGGGAAAGGGGAAGCCAGGGTGGGGGACAGGGTAAAGGCCACTCACCCTCTGGGTCCCCCACAAAGTGGACCATCCATGTCACTCCCGAATTCTAGAATCAGAGTCTCAGAGTCAGAAGTCACTTGGCCTGACCCTGATCAGGCCCAGAGAGGAAGGGCCTTGCCCCGGGCCACACAGCCTGGTAGAGCCAAGGTAGGGGGACTCCCATGTCCGACTGGCCCGGGCCCCACCTGTGACCCATCAAAGCCCAGTGGGCCACGCCCACAGCCGCCCTTCTGGTCCACGAGAAGGAGCAGGGTAGCCAGTGCACCCGGGCAGCCCAGCCGATGCAGAAGGTCAGCCCTGTGCATGACCCCAGGTCTCACAGTGATGATGTCCCCCTGTGGCCACTGCGGCCAGGAGGGCGGCTCAGCTTCCTGTCTGTGTTTTGACAGCAGGAGCCAGTTGCAACTCTTACTGACAGCAGCTGCTGTTGCCGCTCCCAGGGCGTCCGAGGAAGCCAGGAGGCTGCGCCCCGAGTCCCGCCCTCTGCTGTGTCCCGGAAGCGGTGTCCTCATGAGAGCCACCTAACCACTCTTTTATATCCTGACGCAGACCCTTCCGGCCGTCTGTCACGTCCGTGGGGCACGTGCGGGGTCCCGGGCCCTCGGTGCAGCACACCACGCTGAACGGCGACGGTCTCATCTCCCAGCTCACCCTGCTCGGGGGCAACGCGCGTGGGAGCTTCGTCCACTCGGTCAAGCCGGGCTCCCTGGCCGAGAAGGCGGGCCTGCATGAGGGCCAACAGCTGCTGCTGGTGAGGGGCTGGGGCTGGGGAAGGTGGCAGCCCAGCCTAAGCGCCCGTGGCTTTCCCTCCATTTGCACACCGTCTGCACACCTACTGCTGACAGAGGACAAGCCCCCACCCCCACCCGCAGCCTTGCATTAAGCTGCGGATTCCCGGCCAGCAGGAGGGAGCTGGGAGGTGGCAGGGCCATCAGCTCCTCGCCACAAGTCCCTCTCCAGGCCTTTCTCTGCAGCTCCTCGCTTGTGTTTCTATTGCCTCTGCACGTGCCACGTGCAGACACCTGCACACGCGTGCCCCGGGGGGTGGACGGGAGCCCCCGTTTAAGAGGGGTGCTTTCTTCCTTGTGGCCATCGCTGAACTAGTCGGTGGGGGGGAGAGAGGCTTTCATTGCCCCGCGGAGCCCAGGAAAAACAGTGTGTCTTTGCCCTCTAGCTAGAAGGCTGCATCAGAGGCGAGAAGCAGAGCGTCCCCTTGGATACGTGCACGAAGGAGGAGGCGCACTGGACCATCCAGAGGTGCAGCGGCCCCATCACTCTGCACTACAAGGTCAACCAGGAAGGTGAGGCCGCCATGCGCTCCTGCCCTTGGCCACGGCTGGGAGGCCGCCAGGTGGGGCGAGACCCTGGACAAACATCTTCATCTTGCTTGTCCATTCAGCGGGATGGATGAGCTGGTCCTGGCTCCCTCTGGAGGATCTCATGGGCAGGCGTGGGACAGCAGGCCAGAAGGGAGATGCACCTGAGCACAGGTGCGCACACCTGCCCTGGTGCAAGCAGCACACCCAGCCACAGTGGACTGACTGCCGGACCCAGCAGGAGGGGGCCAGGGCCCCCAGCCCATGGCTGCACACCGGCCTGGCCCACCTTGCCCCTCTCCCCACCAGGCTGAAGTCTGCGTGCCCTCTCGGGCTTCTCAGCCGGGATGTGGGCCACGGCTCCGGGCTAGCCACTCCGGCACCAGCAGGTCCTCTGAGCCACATCGTGGGCTGGGCCTTTTACTCTGAGCTCCCGCCTGCAGGACAGCCAGGCCTCGCCCCACCTGCTCGTCTGGCCCCCGGCAGCCTCTGCATCTTGCCTCTGCTCTCTCGGCCAAGACTCCCCGGCAGGGAGCTCTGAGCTCTGTCTTCCATTTGCCAGCGTCTGAGTTCTCATTCTCACCTCTGGGTTTTTTCCTGCATGATTATCTCTGCAGCTGGATCTTATTTTTAACCACCAGCGCTCATGAATGTTTCAACAGAGCATAAATAGCCACTTTCTCTTTAGCCGTTCCCACGGCTGCCTGCTCGTCCCCGCTCCTTCCCGGCAGGGCCTGGTCGGGGCAGAAGATGATAATGATGCTCTGTCCCCAAACACAGGACCCAGACTCCCGCCCTCTCCCGGGCCTGGCCTTGCAGCCTAGCAGAAAGTCTCTGGGCAGTGCCCTGCCCACTGGCCAGCAGTGCCACGGGACACAATGTGAACAGTGCCCCCCGAGTTGTCCAGCAGCATAGCCCGCAGTCTGGAATCCAGTGAAAGAAAGGATGCTTTTGGCAGAGCCTTGTTGGTAGGGCCTTTCCGCCCAGGTGGCGGAGAGCTCAGATGGCGCTGCCTGTTGACCCCCGACCAGCTGGGTGGGAAGGACCCGACTGGGAACCCCCCATTTCTCCACACACATTGATCAGACAGCCCGCTGGCGCAGATCTCCCTGGAACGTGTGGGGTTGATGTTCGACAAGCTCTTTCTGGGCCGTCTTAGCCCCCACCGTGTTACACGGTTCTCTGCTTGTGGCACTGATTTTGGGGTTTGTATTACGGATTTATGTCACAGACGTACACATTGCTGCCTTTATTGCTTTCATGCTTTAGGCCCTGCTTCCCACCATAGAGATTTGTTAAAATTTATCCTAAAAGACGACTGGGTTAAATAAGGTTAAAACAACATTTGCCATGCTCCTGCCACCTTGGAAAACCATTTGGCAACATCAACTAACGCTAAATATATACATAATCAATGATCTGGGAGTTCCGCTTCTTTTGAATGTATCCAAGAGAAATGAGTACATATGTCCGCCAAAAGATACGAACGTGTGAGAAGGTTCATAGCAGAGTTAGTCATGATAACCAAAAAATGGAAACGGCACAAATGTGCACACCAGAGAAAGGATAAATCAACACCGTGTGAAATACTATACAGCAATGAAAAAGAACACAGGGTGCTACCTCGCAGCATCACGGATGAATCTCACTGACACAGTACTGAGCAATCAAAGCCAGACGTGGAAGAGCACATACTGTTGGTTCCATTTCTATGGAGTGAGGCACAGCCAGCCTGGAGAGTGGTTACCGTGAAGAGTGTTAACAGAGAGGGGACAGGAGAGAGGGTTCTGGGTGGTGGTTACCCGGGTATACACATTTGCAAAAATTCATCAAACTGAAGACTTAAGAATGTATGCAGCTTACTGTACATAAGTTGCGCAGCAATTAAAGAAAAACAAAAATCATGCGCATTCCGTGTGATGGTGGGAAAGGCCTGGAGACTGTACAAAGATTCTAGATTTGCAGCAACCTGGCACAGAATTTCTCTCTGAGCTTCTTGGCAGCCAAGGCAAAAAGGGAAACCCATAAGTGACCCACTACTCATTGATCAGGGGGGACAGGCTTTTTTCTAGCCACCAACTCTAAGAGGAGTGTATCATGTGGGTGCGTTATCTGGGGGTGACAGAGTGAGGGAGTTTGTTCTTGGGGGCCTCTTAGTGACAGGAGGCCCTTTGCCGATGGACAGCTGGTGCATCCTTGACCTGCTCTCCTGCCACAGGATACCGGAAGCTGCTGAAGGACATGGAGGAAGGCCTGATCACGTCGGGGGATTCCTTCTACATCCGGCTGAACCTGAACATCTCCAGCCAGCTGGACGCCTGCTCCATGTCCCTGAAGTGCGATGACGTGGTGCACGTCCGCGACACCATGTACCAGGACAGGCACGAGTGGCTGTGCGCGCGGGTTGACCCCTTCACAGACCACGACCTGGACATGGGCACCATCCCCAGCTACAGCCGGTGAGGCCGGAACCCGGGCGGGGCTGGGGGGTGTGGAGCTCGGCAAAGGGGCTGGAGGGGGAGCCTGTGCCTGTTGACCAGTGAGGTCCCCCGTTCCCCACTCCTCCTGGAAGGCTCTCCGGGGATGCTGCTCTCTAAAATCCCATTTCACCAGTAAATCTCAGAGCGCCTCCTTTCTGTCGTTCCTGGACAGCTTCAGTTTTATGCTCTTTTGGGTTCCCTAGTCACTTCTTTACAGGCGGCCATCTCCCAACCTCTTTACGTAAGTACAGAGCAGTAGCCGCCCAGGGCTGAGCATCCGCCTCCCCTGGTTGGGCACACCAGGTGTCTGGAAAGCTGCTCAGGCCGGCCCTGCGAGGTCAGCATCAGCAGACCAGATTCACAGATGGGGAAACTGAGGTCAGAGGGGTTAGGTGACTTTGCCACGGCCCTGCAGAGTCAGCACTGGAGGCAGGATTTAAGGCCAGATTCAAGGCACCATGTGTTCCCTGGGGTGCCCCTGGGGCTCAACGCTCACACCCTGCGCAGGGCTGGGCACACGCCCCCTCCCCGAGCTCACCCCTGAGCCTCACCCTCCCCTCTCGCCTCCCCAGAGCCCAGCAGCTCCTCCTGGTCAAGCTGCAGCGTCTGATGCACAAGGGCAGCCGGGAGGAGGCGGACACGGCCCACCACACCCTGAGGACCCTCCGGGTAGGTCACCCAGCGGCCCTGCCGGCTTCAAACCACCTCCCGGGGTCTCTGTTGAGGAATAATAAGTGGGAGCCATTAATCTAATTGGGACGATGGATTCAGGGGACTTGGTGCCTCCGGAGTGGGACGCCCCTCCAGAAGGAGCCCCACCCTCTGTCCTCCCACGGCCTCTGACTTTAAAGCGACAGTGATGGCCCAGCCGGTTTTCAGTCTGGCTGGGCTGCAGGCCTTCCCTCCGCTGTCTCTGGTCTCTGTTGGAACAAGTCTCGGGGCTCCTCGTACCCTTCCAGGCTTGCTCCCCATCTGGAACACTTTGACCCGTGCCTGGGGCTCCTCCGCCTTTAGCACGGAGCGGGTCTGGGGGCACGTCTCTGCTTCCCCATGGCGTCAGTGTGCTGGCACGTCCTGCCCAGCCCAGCGGTCTGACCGATGGCTGAACTGATTTCAGAACACCCTGCAACCTGAAGAGCCGCTTTCCACCAGTGACCCCCGGGTCAGCCCCCGCCTCTCGCGAGCAAGTTTCCTCTTTGGCCAACTCCTTCAGGTAAAGCTCCCCAGAGCACCGACTGACTTCTCAACCCCGTTTTGCTGTGGCTCTGCCCTCTCCCTACCCAGAAGAGAAGCCTGTATCAGAATAGCGGTGTTCTGCATCTGCACACCACTCACACCTTTTCACTGCACCTCATATCTCCCACAACATTTTATCCAGGTGGCAGGTTGGGAGACAGTAGCAAACCCTGCTGTCATGAAAAGATTTGAGGCCAAAAGATACTTAAGCAACTCGATTGTTCAAGTACTAAAAGAAGAATCAGAAACAATGTATCAGTAAACATTGCAGATATCCAGGTCAGTTCTGTCCCTCAGATGGAGCATTAAATTCGAGCATCCTGGCAGCCAAGGGAAAAAGGGAAACCCAGCAGCTTCTTTAAATCTTTTCTGACCACAGAAACGTTTTAGCTCTTCAGGACCAGAAAGAATTTTTCCCTTGTATTTAATTCTAAAGTAATTTGGGGGGGGGAGGGGGGGGCATGGACCATTATACAAAAGACATCGAACAGCATAGTGGAGGATAACTTCAGAAACAGTTTCACATAAATGCAGAAGCATTCTGTGTGGCCATTTCCTCCATCACCAATTGACAGAAGCTGAGGGAGTAATTACTAAGATGTAGCCCCCTGAGGCTGTTCCTATGTTGGCCTCCGTGGAGCTAGCATGATCCCTCCACTGCTCCATCCTATGATGGAACAGAGGGAACCCCAAGAGGTGGTTAATGGTGTGACCCTAAAACCCAGGTAGACACAGACAGGTAGCAGAAAGACACTCCCGGAGGTGGAAGGGAGCCCTGGCAAAGTCTGAGGTCCCCCCGGCTCCTGGACTTTGCTCCATGCAGAAGGAGGACATGGTGAGACCCAAAGGAGCCCATGGAGTATGGCGGGAGCCCGGTTCCATGCCCACCGCTGGGGCGTCCCTTTCCGCCCTCCAGGACCCAACTCTGAGTTGTAGAAGAAAACAGGCCTCCCCCCACCGGAAGACTCGGGGATACCGAGGCAGGGGGCGTGGAGAGCACGGTGTCACAGGAGACGAAGTCATTCTGCGTGCACACACCAGGCGGGCAGTCTGTGGGCTGGGAGCTGGGGCGGCACAGCTGGGCCACTCCAGGTGCCCGTGGGCCCACGTGGGCTGCACCCACAGGTCCCCCAGAAGGCAGAAGGATTATCGGGGGGCCTCATTGAGGGTCTGCTCAGGGCCAGCCCCCAGCAGGCTTCCTGCCTGGTTGTGGGGGAGAGAGTGGCGTTCATTCGCTCATTTCCCTACGCTGACATCCCCAACATCCAAAGGACTCGGGCGACCTGCTGGGTGTCTCCTGTTTGTACAGGGGAGGCGACTGACCCTGGCCCCAGGGGCAGAACTGGGACCCGAACAGAGCCTCCCCGAGCCCGGATGGAGGCGGCTCGATCCGGTTCGAAGCCGTCCTCTGCCCCCCCCCCCGTGTCCTCCAGTTCGTCAGCAGGTCTGAGAACAAGTACAAACGGATGAACAGCAACGAGCGGGTGCGCATCGTCTCGGGGAGCCCGCTGGGGAGCCTGGCCCGGTCCTCGCTGGATGCCACCAAGCTCTTGACCGAGAAGCAGGAAGGTAGGGCGCTGGCTGCCTGGCCCCTCCCCACCTCCTGCAGGTCCCGTGGCCTCACAGGTCCCGGTGGGCCACATGGGTCCCTTCAACGGGACTGGGATGTGTGCTTCCTCAAAATGGGGGATGCCACCTGGGGATGAGCTGCCTGGCCTTGGCTGGGAGGACCACACAGCCCCCGGGGGCAGCGTCCCGCCAAGCTCGCCCCTAACTAACACCGGCTATGGTTGGTGTGAGCCCAGATGCCCATGTTAATTGGAGCTGTTTGCTGTCAGGTGGTCACTTACTGATTTCTCTCCCCTCTGCGTGCCTCTTGCCATTCATCAAGCTGGCGAGGGGCCGCCCAGTGCCCAGTGCCCTGTGGAAGGCCCTGCTGATGGCAAACCAACCCTCCTCCCACAGGAGGACCTGGGGCTTCAGGGCTGGGACGGCTCGGCGGGGCTCGGGGGGCCGGGTGGAGTAAAGGGACAGTCCGCTGGTCTCGCTCTCCTTGCATCCGCCCTGCCCTCTGCCCAGCCCGCTCTTGCTCCAGCTCTCCTCGCCGGGCTCCTTCTCTGGGTGCCGGACTCAGTCCCTGCCTCTCCTCAGTGAAGCCGTCACTGACCGTCCTGCCCCAGGCCCCTTCTTCGGAGCCCAGCGCCGGCCAAAGTGATCAGTGTGTGTGCGTTACACGCCTCTGTCTGCTCCCCGCCACCACCAACCCCCTGACACAAAAGCACCAAGAGGCAGGGCCCCCCTCTGCCTGGGTCAGCGCTGTCACCACAGCTCCCAGAATGGGGCCCGGCCCACAGGTCACCTCATCAACGTTCTGGAGATGGCCAAAGGGTATCCTGAGCCCGTGGGCTTGCAGTCAGCCGACACACTTTCAAGGCTCCCCAGAGGGCACCCAGGGTCTCCGTGCCGCCCAACCCCGCCGGGCGGGCAGGGGTCTCACAGCAGGTCCTTTGCTGTCCTCTCCCAGAGCTGGACCCCGAGAGCGACCTCGGCAAGAAGTTCAGCCTGATCCCCTACAGCCTGGTGCGTGCCTTCTACTGCGAGCGCCGCCGGCCCGTCCTCTTCACGCCCACCATGCTGGCCAAGGCGCTGGTCCAGAAGCTGCTCAACTCGGGGGGCGCCATGGAGTTCACCATGTGCAAGCCAGGTGAGCACCCCACGCTGCCCCGGGAGCCCGCCCACCGCCACTCCTCCTCCATCACGTGGTGTCATGTCACGTCGCCTCGGGGCTGGAGAAGCGCTGGGTGTGGACGGGTCGGGGGAGAATGCAGCCTTAGTTCCCGCGGCCCCCCTCTCTGAGTTGCCTCTGTCCCACAGCAGCCCCGGGAGCAAGGAGAGCAGACCTTGTCTTCCCCATTTTACACGCAGGGTGACAGGGCAAAGGTCACGGGGTCAGCCAGGAGACTCGACTTGGGGTCCCCACTCTGGGCCCTTAGGCAGGAGGCGAGCCACCCTATAGCTCTGGGCCTCCGCGTCCTCGTGTGTGCCTGGGGGACGACGATAGTACCCTGCACGGCAGAGCGTGGAGCCCCAATCCTGGCCGTTCTCTAGAATCATCCTCAGCATCGCCTGTATTTAAAACTGTGGGTGTCCAAGCCCACCCCAGACCAATTAAATGTCAGGTGTCTGGGGTGTTTTTTTTTAGTTACGGCAAAATAAAGAAAACATCAAATTTACCATTTTAACCCTGTGTAAGTGTGCAATCCAGTGGCGTGGAGCACATTCACGTTGTTGTGCAGCCATCCCCACCACCCATCTCCAGAACTTTCCATCTTCCCAAACTGAAACTCTGTCCCCATTAAACGCTAACTCCCATCCCCCTCCCCCAGCCCCTGGCGCCCACCCTTCTACTTTCTGTCTCTGTGAACTTGATGACTCTTAGGTCCTCGAGCAAGTGAAGTCACACGCTATTTGTCTTTTTGGGACTGGCTTATTTCGCTTAGCATATTGTCTTCAAGGTTCATGCACGTTGGAGCGTGTTGTCAGAACTTCCTTCGTTTTTAAGGCTGAACAATATTCCACTGCATGGATGGACCACATTTCCTTTATCCATTCATCTGCCAGTGGACACTGCGGTTGCTGACCTTTTGGCCGTGTGAATAGTGCTGCCGTGAACACGGCTGTGCGAATATCTGCTCCAGTCTCTGCCCTTTGTAATTTTGAGTGTACACCCAGGAGTGGAATTGCTGGATCGCGTGGTCCTTCTATGTTTATTTTTTTAATTTTGACACTGCCACACTCTCTTCCACACTGGCTGCACCATTTTACAACCCCACCAACAGTGCACAAGGGTTCCACTTTCTCCCCATCCTCACCAACACCTGTGATTTTCTGTTTTGGGGTTTTTTTAATAATAGACATCCTAATGGGTGAGAAGTAGAGGTGTCAATGTTTTAAGGCAAGCTTTGGAGGTACCATTTACATACAACAACATGCTCCTATTGTAAGTGTGCACTTGAATGAGTTTACACGAGCGTGTACACTCCTGCAAGCACGGCCACAACCAGGATGGAGAGCATTGCATCCCCCCATAGAGCTCCCTGGGGCTCCTTTACAATCCTGTCCCTCCCTCCACCTCCTGCCCCAGACACCGTTGCTCTGCTTCCTGTCACACCTTAGTTTGCATTTTCTAGAACTTTCTATAAATGGAATCATGCCGTGTGGGATCGTTTGTATGCCTCTTTCTTCCACCCAATATAATGTTGCTGAGATCCCTTGTGTCGTCGCTCCTCCTGCTGCTGAGAAGCATTCCGTTGCACGCACGTAGTTTATGCAAAGGCCCCCGGTGGCTCTCACGTGGGGCCCAGGCTGAGAACCAGCGGTCAGCACCATCCCTGGCCCAGATGGGCCTCCGTGAGCCTGAACCCCTGCCCTTGCCACTGACCTTTCTCAGGAAGCCCCACAGTAAGGGTCCAAGCAGGAACAGACCCGCCTCCTGGGTCCACACGGATTCCCAGGTCCACGGCCTTGAATGTTGGCACTAAAGCTCCCGAGGGCTTGAGGGTGCTGGCTCTGTGGGGCTCTGTGGCCCCCGCAGCGTGCTCCCTCCCCGTCCAGGAGGGCCTCAGCAGACGGTGTGGTTGGTGGGCAGGAAGGATGGTAGTCCTTGAGGCAGGTGGCCTGCGAGGGGCCCAGCCTCTCTGAGCACCAGCTGCTGCAGCCACCGGAGTGCCCACCTCCTTTCTCAACAGGGCCCATGTGCCTGCACGGCCCTCCCAGGCCCAGCTATTAGGTGCAGGAACCGTTTTGGGGTGTGCACCCCCAGGAGCCACATATGCCCTCCAGGGAGGCTCCAGGAGAGGAACTTCATTTCCCCCCTGAGGCTCCACGCCTTTTCAGCTGACGCCCTGGCCTGTAGGAGGCTTGGTAAAAAGCCTGACTTGAAATCCCACTTGGGCCCCTGAACTCTGCAGATGCATCCCTTCATCCCCTTGGTGCATTCATGGCCAGCTGGCCTTGGGCGCTGTCAGGGCAGGAATTCGAGGCTTCCTCCCTCCCCCGAATTCCCCCAGAGCTCCTCGCCTGCTGGCTCGCCCCAGATCCCTTCCGGTTCACTTCCACCACGCTGTAAGCGTGCACGCTGGACTAGGGGCTGATGTGGGCTCCCCCCGGCCAGCCAGGCCTGGCCTTTCCCCACCCTCCTCCTTCACAAACAGAGAACCTGAGGCCCGGAAAGGTTAAAGACGTATTCAGGGTCACCCAGCAAGTGAGTGGTGGAGCACTCCTCCTCCAGGAAGTCTGCCCGCTCCCCTTTCCCGCCACACCTCCTCAGTGCTCCCACAATAGGTAGCCCTTCACTGCACCTACTAAGTTATATCTGTGTCCCACATTCTTCTCCCCAGTTAGGTTGTAGGTCCTCGAGTACAACAGCTATGTTTTCATCTTATTTTTATTCTTAATGCCTGACCCTTAGTAAATTTTCAATAAATGTTGAATTATTAAATTAATAGATGGGTGGGTGGATGGATGGATGGATACGTAGATGGATGGATGGAGATGAATAGATGGATGGGTTGATGATGGATAGATTGATGGATGGATGATGGGTGGGTGGATTGATGGATAGATAGATGGAAGATGATAGGTAGATGGATGGATGGATTGATGATGGATAGATGGATGGATGGTAGGTAGGTAGATGGATGGATGATGGGTAGATAAATGGATGCATTGATGATGGATAGATAGATGGATGGATGATAGGTAGATGGATGGATGGTTTGATGATGGATAGATGGATGGATGGTAGATAGGTGGATGGATGGATGATGGGTAGATAGATGGATGGATGATGGGTAGATGGATGAATGGATTATGGATAGATAAATGAATGATGGGTGGGTGGATGGATGGATGGGTAGATAGAGGGAGGGATGATAGATAGATGGATGGATGGATGATGGATAGATGGATGGATGATAGGTAGATTGATGATGGATAGATGGATGGATGGTAGGTAGGTAGGTGGCTGGATGATGGGTAGATAGATGGAAGGGTGATGGGTAGATGGATAGATGGGTTGATGATGCATAGATAGATGGATGATAGGTAGATAGATGGATGGATGGATTGATGATGGATAGATGGATGGATGGATGATGGGTGGGTAGATGGATGATGGATAGATGGATGGATGATATGTAGATAGATGGATGGATGGATTGATGATGGATAGATGGATGGATGGATGATGGTTAGATGGATGGATAAATTGATGATGGATAAACAGATGGACGGATGATAGGTAGACGGATGGATGGATTGATGATGGATAGGTAGATGGATGGATGGTAGATAGGTAGGTGGATGGATGATGGGTAGATGGATAGATGGTAGGCAGGTAGGTGGATGGATGATGGATAGATAGATGGATGGATGATGGGTAGATGGATAGATGGATTGATGATGGATAGATAGATGGATGTATGGTAGGTAGGTAGGTGGATGGATGATGGGTAGATAGATGGAAGGGTGATGGGTAGATGGATAGATGGGTTGATGATGCATAGATAGATGGATGATAGATAGATAGATGGATGGATGGATTGATGATGGATAGATGGATGGATGATGGGTAGATGGATGATGGGTGGGTAGGTGGATGGATGATGGATACATAGATAGATGGATGGATGGATTGATGATGGATAGGTAGGCGGATGGATGAGCGGTAGATGGATAGATGGATTGATGGTGGATAGATAGATGGACGGATGATGGGTGGACAGATGGATGGAACAGGAAGTCCTTCATGATGGGCGACTGGTGATCGACACTGCACCACGGTGCCTGAGCTACCTTGTAATGAAACTTATTGCCGAGAAGCCAAACCATGAGTGTTTACCCTACACCTATTCCGTGGGCTGCCGTGGGGAGCGTGAAGAAGCGTGACTTCAACCCTGCCCTCAAGAAGCCTCGCCGTCTAGTGAAGCAGACAGGAGTCATGTAAACGTGGCCAGAAGGGGATTGGACACAGAGTTCTGTCGAGCCCAGGAGGGGGAGGCAGAGCCTGGATGGGGCCACCTTGTCCCGCTCTCAGGACTGGCCCGTCTCTCCGCAGATGTTGTCACCAGAGACGAGTTCCTCAGGAAGCAGAAGACAGAGACCATCATCTACTCCCGGGAAAAGAACCCCAACACTTTTGAATGCATCGTTCCCGCCAACATTGAAGCTGTGGCAGCCAAGGTGAGATGGGGGCTGGGGGTCTGGCTGGGGGTGACACCCCCCCGATCACCTGGGCCGTGGACGAGGGCCAGATGCAGAGTTGCTTTCACATCCACCCCACCTGCCCCAGGCACACTTTCTCCTTTTCCCTGTCGCGCTCATCTGCCCCGTATTAACTGTCTCTCTCCACGCCCTCGTTCTCCGGGCCCTGACGTGCGTTTATATTTTGAAACCACTTTCTATTTCCGATGGCTTCCTGATGCAGGTGTTCCAGTTCGCGTTGTTTAGGCCTGTGTGTGTCTGCCTGTGATAACGAGGGCCAGAGATAGAGAGTGAGCATGTCAGGGCGAGAGACAGCGAGAGGCGGGTGGGTGACAGGTATCGTGTTTGCCAAACGAGGGAAAATGGAGCATCTGAAGGGTTATTGGCCGCGATGCAGGAGAGGTGTCTGCATGCAATTTAGAGTCTTCTGGAGCCAGGCCGGGTGACCCTTATCGGCCCTGCGCACCGAGTTCTTTCTCATTCTGGGGCTTTATGAAAGCCCGGCTCCAGCCCATGGCAGCTGAGCACTGTCCCAGAGACTGGGGGCTCTGCTCCGTGGTGGGCAGTGACCTTGAGGGTGGCAGGAGCGGGAGCCCAGCCAGGAACTCCTCATTTGTTGTCCAGCTGACAGTCATTCCCACGCCCTCCCCATGTTGTCACTCACTCAGAGGAAAGCACAGGCAGAGCCGTCAGCCAGCCTTGAGCCGTTGGTTTGGTTTTAAACATGGGCACCAGGGGTTTCGGGAATCTGACAGCCGGAGGGCATGGAAAACGAGTGGCCGGGCTGGAGCCAAGGTACTTTTAGCCGAAAAGGTGATTCCGTCCTATGGATCCATGCCGTTGGAAGTCCCAGTAGTGACCACGCTGGCGGGGAGGGGACAGTGACCAGAAGGAACATGGGGGGCTCTGGGGCTGGTCGTCCCCACCTCTGGACCTGGGTGCTGGTCCCACGGGCTCGCTCAGTTTGTGAAAATGCACTGAGCTGTATGCTCAGGAACATGTGCACTTTGCTGTATTCGTGTCCTACTTTGATGCAGGGTTTTTGTTTCTGAAGTGACGCCTTCAGCAAAACAGAGATTGTCCTTCTATAGAAATGACAAGCCCATGGGCCATGGGGAACCCTGGTTGAGGACCTTGCAGATTCGCCCAGGGCCCACAGCCCGCCCCCCTTTTAGGAGTTCTCTACCCTGTGCCGAGTACCAAGGATGCCTTGGGCCGAGCAGGATAGCAGGCGCCCTCCATGCTCATTTTGACTTTTATTAAAACTCACTCACGCCGCCTGACCCACCTCGGGCTGGGTGCCTCAGCTCTGCCATCACCAGTCGCCGTGCACAGCAGAGGGGGACCAGGTGTCCGGACGGGTGGGGGCCTTGTCTCGTGGAGAGTGGGCGTCACCTTGGATCCGTCCCCACTTCAGCCAAGGTGGCACTCAGGGCTCTCGCCCCCTGTCTCTGTCCCGTGAGCCTGACCCTGCATCACAGGCCCCGCCCCAGGCACCCATCAGGCTGGAGGAGGGGCCCCACTACTCACCGCCGGCCACTGTGCTTACAGAACAAGCATTGTCTGCTGGAGGCCGGGATCAACTGCACCAAAGATTTGATCAGGTCCAGCATCTACCCCATCGTGCTCCTCATCCGGGTGTCAGAGAAGAACATCAAGAGGTTCAGGTAAGGCTCCGAGACCCCCGGGCCCTAAAGCACCCCTCCTTCTCCCTCCCACCCCTCAAGCCTCTGGGGTTCCCACCAAGAACAGCTGGCTGTGTCAGCCCCACCCCCACCGCCACCCCACTTGTCCCTTTAGTGAATCCTTATTGAGGGCCGGACCATAGTCCAGGGTGGACACGGCCCCTGACCTCCAGCAATGGAGACAGGAACATACACTCATAGACCATGTCCAGGGGACGGATGATGGGAGGGAGGAATGGGCGCTGCGGGACCAGGCAGACAGGAAGCTGACGTCAGAGCAGACCCGCCGCGGTGAGGGGGGCCGGGCAGGTGCTGCAGGAGATGCACTCCGGGCGGAGGGCACAGCTGGCGCCCAGACCCCAAGGAAGGGACAGCCCAGAGGAGGCCAGTGTGGTGGGCGATGGGCAGAGCAGTGAGAGCTGACCTTGCAGCCGACGGGGGTCCAGACGATGCCAGGCCGTGTCGGCCGTGGGAAGGATGTGACATTTTAGTCTGGGTGAGACGGGAGCCACTGAAGGTTGTGAGCAGAGGAGTTGCGTGATCGGATGCAGGACTTAAAAGTCTTGCTCTGGCTGCCGTGTGGACACAGACGTTAGGACCACCCGGGCAAGAGCTGGGACCCAGATCCTCTCTGGGGGGCGATGAGGAGAGGGCCGATTCTGGATCCTGTTCAAGGTCCAGCCTGTGCAGTTTTTTGAAGGGTTAGCTATGGGGTTCAATGGGGAGAGAGGAATCGGGGTGATACTGAGGTTTGGGGCCTGGCTGTCACGTGGTGTGATCTGTCTCTGATCCCCACCTCGCCTCGCACACGCCTGCAACTGGGACTGAGAGAGGTCTCTCTCCCCAACTACTTCCTGAGCACCTACTAAGTGCCAGGCACCAGGGAGCCCATGAATGAGCAAAGGAGACAGAAATCCCCACCTCCCCATGTCACACGCGCTCTGACAGCTGCTGTCCGAACACCAGAAACGAGCAGCGTTGGTGAGGTCGGGGAGAAATTGGAAGCCTGGTGCCCCGCTGGTGGGAATGTAAAACCGTGCAGCCGCTATCGAAGACAGTGTGGGAGTTTCCCAAAATATGAATAATAGAACTACCATATGATCCAGCACTTACGCCTCTGAGTTTATACCAGAAAGAATCAGAAACAGAGTCTTGGAGATATTTGCACACCCGTGTTCATAGCATCACTATTCACAATAGTCAAAAGGTGGAAGCAACCCCAGTTTCCATCGACGGATGAATGGATAAACAAAATGTGGTCCATCCAGACAAGGGAATACTATTCAGCCTTGAAAAAGGAAGGAGGTTCTGACACCTGCTACCACATGGATGCACCTTGAGGACATTATCCTAAGTGAAATAAACCAGTCACAAAAGGGCAAATACTGTGTGATTCCACTTCTGTGGGGTCCCCAGAGTCATCAAATTCACAGAGACAGAAAGTAGAAGGGTGGGCACCAGGGGCTGATGGAGGAGAAGAGGGAGTCAGCGTTTCATGGGGACCGAGTTTCAGTTTGGGAAGATGAACACGTTCTGGAGATGGTTGCCCGATGACGTGAATAAACTCAACAGTACTGAGCTGTACACTTAAAAAATTGGCAAGATGGCAAATTTTATTTTGTGTGTACTTTACCACAGTTAAAAAAGAAACTTTTCTTAAATCCCGACCTCTTGGGATTTGCATCAGGAACAGAATAGATGCACTAATAGCGTGCTAGAGGCGGTGGACGTGATGGAGAAACACAGAAGGGGAGGGGGCACTCAGTGGGAGGACTGGGGAGGCCTCCGGCACGGGGTGGCCAGGTGGGCACAGCGCCACTTCCCGAGGTTCTCCCGGGGGTCAGACAGTGGGCCCACGCCGCGGGGCCCAGCCCAGCCACGCCACAGCCGCCCGCGTGTCCCCCCGCCCTCTGCCCGCAGGAAGATGCTGCCGCGGCCCGAGACGGAGGAGGAGTTCCTGCGCCTGTGCCGGCTGAAGGAGAAGGAGCTGGAGGCGCTGCCGTGCCTGTACGCCACGGTGGAGGCCGACATGTGGGGCAGCGTGGAGGAGCTCCTGCGCGTCATCAAGGACAAGATCGGCGAGGAGCAGCGCAAGACCGTCTGGGTCGACGAGGACCAGCTGTGAGGCGCGGCAGCCCTGAGTCTGAGCGGGGGCTCGGGAGGGGCGTCCGGACCGCCCCCCACCACCGGGCAGTGCCGTGGGGGCGAGGGAGCATCCTGCTGTCCGCAGGGCCACCCCGGCCTGGGGGCTCGGTCTACCCGGTGGGGAGTCCCTCCAGGGAGCCCCAGGGAGCAGGTGCAGCTGTGGGGACAGACGCGCTCGGGAGGGAGCAAGGCGTATTTATTCCGCCCAGGGCTGACCTGGCTGAGCGGTCCAGCCCTGCTGGCATTAGCGGGGAGGCGGGGCCCCTCAAAGGACACGCAGCCAGGCCCGAGGCCAGCGGCCCGTCGGGAGCCGGAGCAGCAATTGAATGTAATGCATGGGACAGGTGTGCTCCCTGTGGGGCAGGGACCCCGAAAGCCAGGGCACCCCTCAGCCCTTGGGACACGTGAGATGCACATCCCCAGGCGGGACAGGGGAACGTGCACCATGCTCTTATCTTTCTTGCATTAAAACTTCTCTATTTCCTTGTTTTCAACCTCTTTTTTCTTTTTAATTTGATAGTTTGCAGAGTTTCTCAGCTCTCACCACCTTCCTGACCTGCAGGCTGGGTTCAGGCCCCGGGTCCCGAGGAGGACAAGGGAGGGTGCCATATGTCCGGCTTTCCCAGGACGGGCCTGATTCACACCGGGCTCGGGGTCTGGGCGTGATCGCTAACAGCTCCCCTTCGGCTGGGAGGCGTCCTGATTTGGACGATAAATTATACGGTCACCCTGGGACGGGCCCGTCCTTTCAGAGGCTGCCCGGGGGTCTCGCTGTCTGTACCCCTGTGTCCCCCGACTCCAGCCCTCCCAGCACACTGTTCTCTGTCTCTCAGTGTGTGTCACCTTCCCACATGCGGCCCGGCTTCATCCAGCATGAGGCAGAGAACACGGTGGGTTAAGGCGCTCTGGCAGGTTGGCTCCCCACTGCCCAGCAGCTTGGGGGCTGCAAGAAAGCTGTGCTTCCCTCCACAGTGGGTAGCAAAGGCCCTATGGGTTCTAGATTGTTCTCCTTGATGCAAACTTCTCAGGTATGGACCCAATAGGGCATGGCCAAATGAGGCACAGCTCAAAGACCATAGTTTCCTGCCACCCTTGAAGCTAGGGTAATCAAGGAAATGTCAGGCAAGGATGGAGAAGGAGAAGAGACAAAGCAGACAAACAGCCCTTCTTCCAGTTTCTTGTCTGGAATACAGATGTGATGGCTGGAGCTCCAGCAGTCCTCTTGGATCTTGAGGTGACCTTGAGGATGGAAACCCTGCACAGAGGATGGTAGAATTTAAAGATAGAAGGAGTCAGAGTGGCTGATGACACTTTGGAGCCCAGGACTGCCGCTTGGGTTTCTTTTATATGAGACTGAAATAAATTCTTACCTTGCGTTAAATGGTTGTTGTTTCGGTTCTCAGTTACTTGCCTTTTCAAACAGAGAGCGGCCCTCCAGGAGCCCGGGAGGGATGTTTCTTCCTCCAGAACAGCCCCAGGCACAAGTCGGACCGCGCTGGGTCTGGAGAGACCGTGATTCCGGAGGGTCAGCGGAGGTCCCTCGGGGCCGGATAAACCGCCACGCGGCGAGATGCGAGAGCCAAAATGTCTGTTTCCATCCTGCTTCAAGTTAAACAGTAAATTCTCCCCCGGCCGAGGCAATCACGTTCCCACTCAGAGGCCGAGCTTCCTCGGAACGCACTCGGAGCCGAGGGGACGGACGTGGCTGGAAGAGAGTCCCGGAGTGAAAGGTCTGCTGATGGGTTTATATTTATTTGACTTCAGGATTCTCAGGCCTGGCACAATGACCACTCTCGGCTTGCCTGTAATCTGGGGGGGTGGGAGGGGACAAGGACGGGTGAAGGTAAGCCATGCGGGGGGGAAAGAGCTGAAAAGAGCTTGTGGCTGGGGTCCCCCCCCCCACCCCGAGGGATTGCAGCCAGGCCCCAGCACGCCGGCGGGGGTTGTATGTTTGTTAATAAGATGGGGTGGAAGGAGAGAAGTCGGGAGTGAGCCGCCGTGTTCTCGGTCGCTCCCTGGATGAACCGGTGACGTCGGCGGGAGGCTGGGGTTTGGAGCCCTGGGGAATCTGTCCCCCTGGGGATTTCAAAGGAGACCCCTGGCATCATCTCCTCCAGCTCTTGGGTCCCATTAGTCAGCGGCCCAGCCATGCACAGCCCCCGGGCTGCCTGGGAAGGGAAATGGACCCCGGGTAGAGCTGGGCGCTGGGACCGCTCAGAGGTCTCTGCAGAGCCGGCTGCAGCTTGGGTTGTCACGCCAGGGTCTGCCAGCCGAGTGTTTCCCCTGGAGCCAGCCCAGGGCTCGCGGGGGCTGCCCCCCTAAGGCGCACAGTGGGGCTTCTGCCCACACAGCAAGCCCGTGTCCCGGGTTCTGGACAGGAGCCTGTGCCGAGCTGGTGGCACCAGTGACGGATGCCCAGTCTGCCTCCAAGGACACCGGCCACACAGCTCGGAGCCCTGGAAATCGTGTTGCATGTGTAGACCTACACTTTTCTCGGAAAAAAAGTCCAGACTTTTTCAGATTCCCAAGGGTCCTATAATCCCCCAAAGATGAAGGGCCACCGCTCTTGGGTTTGGCAAATATTCACTTTTTTTGAGCTGCTGCTCTGTCCCAAGCACTTTGTAAACATTCTTTTACTTCCTGATCCCGAAAGTCTTCTCCATTTTATACAGGAGAAAATTGAGCCTCAGAGAGGTTAAGTAACTTGGCCAAGGTCACACAGCTGGTAAGCTGGAACTCCATCCAGGCCTGGCTGATTTGCTGACTGCAGGCTCTCGGCTGGATCTCCCAGAGGTGCTGTTTGGGGCCCTGGTGGCATCTGTCATGCCTCTGCTCTGCTCTTCCAGGAACGGAGGAAGTGGTTGGTGTCCTGGACAGTGGCTGGTTGGGGCCGAGTCGCAGGATGATCAGATGGAGAGGAGCGGATTTCCTCTCTCGGACCTGCGCACGCCCCAGCGGCGCCACCTGAGCAGCCCTGGGTGTCGACCTGACCAGGCCGCCCCTGGTGGGGGGGGTGGCACCCAGGAGGGAACCGTCTCTGAGCCCTGGCGCTGTGCCACCATGCCCGGAGCCCGAGAAATCTCCAGAAGGGGAGGGGACCACTCCGGCTGAGGCCGAACCTAGGCTTTTAGTTTCCATTTCAAACCCCGGGAACCCAAACTGAAGGCAACCAGGAGTGCTCCCTGCCTGCACCCGCCCGGACCGGCTTGTCACCCACAGTCCCAGGTGCTCCCTCCGAGGTCACGGGGCTGCGGGTCGCCAGGGAGAAGAAGAAGGAACAACCCTGACCTCACTGGGCTGTCAGGATTGAGGGAGGAAGGCCGTGAGCACAGAGCACCTGTGGGGCTGTCCCCAGGCTGCCCGGGGACATGGGGCGTCTGGCCTGTCACCTCTCAGCTGCACAGACTGGGCGCCTCAGGGCAAGCAGGGAGAGCCTTCGCTTTTAATCTGGAATTTCGTATCCATTTTTACGTAACAAGACATTCCCAGAGTTCGAAAGCCACCCCTTATCAGGGGGCCATCCATTTAAACCCTCTCCTCTGCCCTGTCCCAGTCCCCAGGCCCCCAGCACGCACAGGAAACCGCTTTTATTAGTGTTCCGGGTGCCCTTCCGGAGCTTTCCTGCACAGACAGGCGTTTATGCCCCTTCCCTTTTGTTGCACGAGAGAGAACACTTACGCACACTTCTGTACTGATTTTTCCGCCTGGAGTGTGTCACTTGGGCCCCTTTTCTCGCTCCTTCGTACAGCGGCCTGCATTCTCCCGTCTGGCTGTCCCGCCACGTCCTCAGCCAGCCGGTGGGGCCGAGGGGTGCACCGCAGGGTCAATCCTGGGGAGTAGCTGGGCCCCTGCCTCCTGTTCCCGGAGCCGGCAGGACGCGGGGCCCTCAGGGGGGTTGGCACGGGTCACCTGTTGCACAGCCCGTATGGCCCCCATCGGGGCGGCACCGTTCACACGGCCTGGTGCCCTGCTCTGCGACTTTTCCGTCTTTGCCTGTGTGGCCTGTGGGGCCTGCTGATGTGTGAGCAGCAGACTTGCCATGAGCCTCTGGCCTCGCTGACACATCACCATCCCGAGAAAGAGCCTGAGGTCTGGCGCTGCTCTTTGCGGCAAGATGGGGGGCGTGGTTTGTGAACCAGGGTTCCTCCCAGGGGTGAGGGGCCTGGCACGGGGACCCCACTCCCCTCCACGAGACACAGACGGCCCCTCCTCCCATCCTCTGAGGGACATTAGTCCACGCGGGCCTAAAGCCATTCACCCCACCCCCTAAAACTGCCCTCCCACCCATCCCTGACTCAGTCACTCGGCCAGCATCCTGGGTGACACCCACATTCTCTGTCTCTCTGACTCTCTCTGTCTCTCTTTTTGTCTCTATCTCTCTCTGTCTCTGTCTCTTTTTCTGTCTGTCTGTCTCTCTCTGTCTCTGTGTGTGTCTCCATCTCTGTTTCTCTCTTTCTCTCCCTCCATCTCTCTCTGTCTCTCTTTCTCTCTGTCTCTATCTCCATCTCTCTCCGTCTCTGTCTCTGTCTCACTCATACACACACACATCCCCACATCCTCAGTCACTTCATCCTGTCGATTAAACTCTTAGCTCCCTCCTGAATCCATTCACCTCTCCCTGTCCCACAGCCACCCCACTGGTCCAGGCTGACCTTTTCTCTCTCACTGGACAGCTAGGACACCCCCCCCATCCCACACGTACCACACCCAACCACATCAGCCCTCTGGCTTTTCCTCTGGCTTCTGGGGCTTCACACAGGCTATTCCTCTTCTCTGAAATGCTGTTCCCTTCACTCTGCCTCATTAACTCCTACTCACCCGTCAGCTGTCAACTGAACTGTCACCTCTTCCCTGACCTGAGCTGACACACCCTTGTCAGCCCACGTTGGAATGACTCTCTTCATTCTCCGTCTTTACCTCCCTACTGTGAGCTTCACAGGGGTGGGGAGCATGTCTGTCTCACTCACCCCTGACCCTGGTCCTGGGTGCTGGCTGCCTGCTGAGATGGACACACAATTAAGCAAGTCATGGCTTTGCTGTTGGAGTTGCCCAGGGTCCAGAAAGGATGCAAATGAGTGAAGTGGGGCAGAGAAAGGCAATAGGGACAGGAGGGGACTACGGCAAACTGGCAAGCACATAATCCATCTAAAAGGGGCAGGTGGAACTCAGCCAGTTGCTTGGAGCCATGTGGGAAGCAAGCCTTGTCTTGCCAGATCTGACTGCTCAAGAGAACTGTTGGCTTTCCTCTTTGGGCGGGTTACCTCATCATCACAATATGGCTGCCACAGCTCCTGGCATCACATCCTCACATGCTGGTGCCCAAAGCAAGAAGGAAGGAGGGTGTCTCGTTTGTCATGCAAGGGGAGGAACCCCTTTCCCAGCAGCCCCCAGGAGTCCTTCCCTTATGTTTCATTGGCCAGTACTGAGTTGCATACCTGCCCTGCGGCTATGCACACTGTCGCTCAAACATAGAAAACAGAGCTGGTCTTTATGGACGCAAACGACAGCATTTGTCACAGGGAAGCTTGGAGGAGGGGACATTTGAGCAGGGCCCTCAAGGGAATGTCAGCAAGCCAGCAGAGATGTGGGGCAAGAGCGTTCAAGCAGTGGGGACAGCAAACGCAAAGGCCCTGAGGCCGACACAGAAGCCTGTCCAAGCAGGCCCAAGTGGAAAGGATGGGGGGGTTGTGTGATGGCACAGAATTTTCCCTCCCCCACTGAAGTTCTGACTCTGCCGTTCAGCTTCTTTCCCTCCCTCTCCCCCTGAGGAGGGCTCCCCCACTCCCAGGCTTGGGGCTTTGATGTCAGGATGAGGGCAAGAGAGGCATTTGGGCAAGACCTGGGGCAGGGGATGGGGGGGGGGTAGTTTTCCACGAGAGGAGGGAGCAGCTCTGGTGAGAAGCCGGTGGAGGGGAAAGATCATCCTTCAGAGTGTTGGCGTGAGTCGTGCAGTTGCCGGTCTTGAGATTCCTTTTCTGGCTGCTGGGCTGTGTTTCTTGGCTTCGGACACTTGAGAGACGGCCCTTGGGTCACGTCTCCGGAGGGTCTGAGAATTCCATGATCAGACAGCTCTCGGGACAGGAGGGGGCCAGCCCCGCGGGGACCGGAAAACCGCCAGAAACCCAGGCAGCGCTGGGGGGGGGGGGGGGGGGGCACCGAGCAGGCCCTGCCAGCAGGAGCCGATTCTGGACGTCAGTTCCAACTGCCTACTCGGTGCCCTGACACCGCCCCCAGGACCGCGGGCTCCGAGGGTTTACACCGTGGGTGTCAGCAAAAGCCACGGATCGGGGCTCTCTCTGCCTGGACACCCCTGTCGGCCTCTCCTGACTCCTCACACCCCCCACCTTCTGACACACCCGTTCCTCTCTCTCTCTTCAAGTT